TGGAAATCTTGTTCTTGGGGGTGGCTGAAGACCCCAAGCTTTCGCTGTTGGGGAAAAACGTTCCCAAGCAAGTTCCCAGGAAGAGGCTCCCAAGCAGGTATCCAGGAAGAGGTTCCCAAGCAAGGTTAAATTCTTAGGAACCGCTTGCAAGTACGGTTCCCAAAAACGGTTCCCAAGCAAGGTCCCAGGAACCGTTTCCAAGCAAGGTTCCAAGCAGGAACAGGCTCGCAGGAACAGGTTCTCAAGCAAGCGTTCCCAGGAAGAGCTGGTTCCAAAGCAAAATTTCCGGGAGCAACCCTTGCTTGCGAACCTCTTCCTGGGAACCTTGCTTGAGAACCTCTTCCTAGCAACCTTGCTTGAGAAGCTGTTCCTGGGAACCTTGCTTGGGAACCTTTTCCTGGAAACATTGCCTGGGAACTTTTTCTGGGAACCTTACTTGTGAACCTGTTCTTGGGAACCTTGTATGGGCACCTGTTCCTGGGAACCTGTGGCTGGGAACCTTGCTTGGGAACCTCTTCCTGAAAACATTGCTTGGGAACCAGCTTGCTGGGAACCTTGCTTGGACACCTCTTCTTGGAAACCTCTTCCTGGAAACACTTGTTTGAAAACCTGTTCTGGGAACCGTGCTTTTCTTGGAAAAACATGTTCCTGGAAATCTTGCTTGGGAAACTTGCTGGGAACCTTGCTTGGACACCTCTTCCTGGAAACCTCCTCTTCCTGGAAACACTTGCTTGAAAACCTGTTCTGGGTTTTTCCTGGAAATCTTGCTTGGGAAACGGTTCCTGGAAACCTTGAAAACAGTTCCTGAAATCCGTGCTTGCAAAACCTGTTCCTGGGCACCTTGGGAACCTGTTCCTGGAAACCTCTTCCTGGGAACCATTGCTTGGGAACCTCTTGCTGGGAACCCTTGCCTGGGAACCCTTGCTTGGGAACCTGTTCCTGGGAACCTTGCTTGGAACCTCTTGGGAACCTTGCCTGGGAACCTCTTCCTGGGAACCCCTGCTTGGTAACCTCTTCCTGGGAACCCTGCTTGGGAACCTCTTGCTGGGAACCCTTGCTTGGGAACCTGTTCCTGGGAACCTTGCTTGGAACCTCTTGGGAACCTTGCCTGGGAACCTCTTCCTGGCAACCCTGCTTGGTAACCTCTTCCTGGGAACCCTGCTTGGGAACCTCTTGCTGGGAACCCTTGCTTGGGAATCTGGTAACCTTGCCTGGGAACCTTGCGTGGGAACCTCTTCCTGGGAACCTTGCGTGGGAACCTCTTCCTGGGAACCTTGCTTGGGAACCTCTTCCTGGGAACCCGGTTCCCAACCTTGCGCCGTGCGGATTTGACTGCTCCGACCTGCTCCGGAACCTTTACTATGGCTGAAGACCCCAAGCTTACGCCGTTGGGGAAAAATGTTCCAAACCACCAACCAGTTATGCTAGTTGTAGATCTCCAGTTGGCTTGCCGGGTGGCCGCTGATCTGAACTACCATCCTAACGGGAAAAACGGACCTCCATCCATTCCTTCCGCATTGCATCATAGTCCTCAGGATAGGGACCACTTAGCCATGTGAGGAATGCCCCAGGACCCACAGTTGCTTCATGCTTGGGTTGTCCGTCAACTGCTGGGGATTGGAGAAACTTTAGTGCTCCACGACTATCATGGCTTCGGTGGTTGCTGATGTGTATCCTACCATCACTTCTTTCAAAGGCTGGAAATCAACGAAATGTCTTGGCCCACCACCACATCTATAACTGGTTGGTGGTTCAATTGGGATGATGAAATTCCCAACTTTTTATGGAAAGTCATAAAATTCCATGGTTCCAAAGCACCACATCTAATGATGAACTTCTTGGCTGCAACGCTATGATCCACCAGCCTTCTGGTTGCCTCCACAAAAATCCATCCTCCACTTGCCCTATGAAACTGCCACACATTGAGGTTATCCCCTCTGACTCACCCCCGAATATACTTCTTGGCTACGGAAAAATATCCCAACATGATCCGCTCAAGTTCAATATCTAGTTGAAAACCATGTTGTTGGTTAAACCATATCCCCATATCCATTGGGATCCTAAGTATATTGCGGTATGGTCCATCAATATCCACTAATCATACCCGTTAATATCCACGAAAAAATAGGTCAACCCATATCTTTGTTCACCCCTGGGCTGTTCAAATGAACTCACCATCAGTTTCATCTGAGCCATTAAGAATAGCCCGTTTTCCCATCGAAAGAAGATCGTTCGTAACGCTTTCCCTAATTACTATGGCTTATCAGAATCCCCAAATTACTGTAACTAATGTGGGTAAAACAATTTCATAAACCATCCCTAGCCATCACCATGTTTATAGGTGGTATAAATAAACCATTCCCAGTCATGGGTGGCAAACATGACATTCTTTGACCCACGTTCGTATCAGTCCCAAATTCACCAATCCAGCGAGGTTTCAGGGCACCACTTCGCAAAGTCACTTCGTCTACCAGAGGCTACCCTCTAGAGTAACCTCTCAACTATGGCAAATCCACCATGTTTATCCATTTTTATAGCTAAATCAACGAACTCAGCCATGTTTAGTAAAGTTTAGTAGCGAAACTGCTACCGGCTACCGATGCCGTCCAGGGGCCACATCACAGTGGGTGAAGGACTCCATGCCTTCTACTCGGACAATCGCCTTCTCCTCCAATGGTTTCACATCCTGATCCAGATCGTTTTCGCTTGGGGGTTGGATCTCAAAACAAAGATATATCTTGCTCATTAAACACATGTAATATAATATAATGTGTATAATATATATATATAATATGTGCATGTATATATATATATGTGTATATATGTATAAAAGTATATGTATGTATATATATATATACATATGTATATATATATATACATATATATATATACATATATACATATGTACATATATATTTATAATGCATTTTCTATATATATATGTATATGCTAACGGACTCGCTACCGTCTCACAAATCTACATCCGGTAGTCTGGGGTGGGGTGGGGAGGGGTGGGGTAATAACGTCAGTTGCATTTCCACATGCACTGGACGCTACGCTCCATGATCTTCATTTGCATTTCCACATGAACGCGATGCTATGCTCTCTGACCGTCATTTGCATTTCTACATGAACTTGATGCTACGCTCTATGATCTTCATTTGCACTTTCATGATCTTCACTTGCACTTCACACTACGCTACTTGAATTTCTACGTAAAATTTTCATGATCTTGATGTTGATGCTACGTTTCTGTTGATGCTACACAACTCACATCTCTATGCAGCAACCGCAGGGGACAAGGTACGCTGCGCTACGCGACATGAAGATGCTACGCCACATGAACATGCTACGCAGCATGACGATGCTACGCAACATGAAGATGCTACGCTACATGACGTTTCTGTTAATGTTATATCTTGTATCACTGCGGTTTCACACATGAACTTATGTCAATAGCAGTAGATGTGTACATTGTAAGAAAAAATCTGAAGAACAGGGGAAAGTCAAGATCCACACGGGTCACGTAGATGGCTTCTGGAAGGTCCTCAAGCAAACCATCCCTGGAAGTTTGCCATCGAAAAAGGGCCAGGCGCGCAATCCTCAAATATGGAAATGCATGCGCTCTTTCCAGTGGCGGTGGGAGTGCACAGGGAAAACCTGATGGAAGCCACCGCTGACGCGTTGAAGAAAATGTGAGAAAAAGTTGCGGTTGCCCTTTATGAGGCTGAAGTGATGGAAGGGTTGTCATTCCAAAAGTAGACGGAGCTTTTTTTTTGATAGGTTTCGAATGCTCAAATCTGGCTTCTCGCTGTGAGGGCGTCGTAATTTTGATCATTTTCTCGCGCCGGTAACGCTTCCGGCGGGATGTATATGTACATGTATAATGCATTTAATATATATATACATATACTGTAAATATATATATATTATACATACGTATGTAGACTCCGAGGGTGAATTAGGGGTATGTTGTTCAAAAAATGCTTCACTTTTTTCATTGGGATGTAGTACTGCAACACAATCACATGGAAACACTAGAATAGTGTCTTCCCCGACTTCAAAACAATATATTTCTAGTTGTAAATTAATTTCGCCACACAAAAGAAATGATAAATATTCTGCCTGGGAACTACATGACTTGAACTTCTCCACTGCAATCTTGCATTGTCTGTCAAAGCATTCTACTGGATGTATTTTGCTTTCCAAGGTGTGTTTTCTTCTTGGATTTGGCTACATTTTGAAACCTATATCGACCATTGTCATGAAGTAATCCATTTTGCACATGAAAGTTTTTTTTGTTTTTCTCTGGATCAGGTTTCCTCTTTATGAACATCACATCACAATATGATCAAATAGCACGGTTAAATTTCCAAAGGATACAGGAAGAAAACTCAGAAATTCTCAAAAATGCGCAGTGTTTTTCCAAGAAGAAATATCCTTATGAAGGTTGGAATCCTTTTAAAAAATAAAACAGCCCTCTACAAAGTGTACTGTGTTTTAATGTTCCGCATTCATGTGTTCTTTCTTTATCATGGTAACATTCCCTCCAACAGATGCTGTATTCTTCAAAGATTGAATACTTAATTAACCTAAAGCTGCAACCTTGTTAAGCAACAGAAACAATATTGTTTCAGAATATGCAGTGTATCCTTTAAAGATGTAGTACTCCTCTCAAAGAAGCTCAGCTGTCCTTTACGTTCGAAGGTAACACCATTTATTTGAAGGGAAGGCTTCACTCACCACAAGGAGAATTGTACATTCCCAAAGGCCACACACCTAAAAGGAAAATTGCACACCCCCAAGGAATACCTGCGCATGTTTAGCATACAATACTTTTTTGATTATGGTGTGTGAAGGATGATGCATTTGATAGACATATGATGCCTTAGAGGCCAGGTGAATCAGATTTGGCTTGGGTTAATCTGGATTAATCTGGATTAATTCCAGGGATCAAATCCTTGAACAAAAACAAAAAACAAAACATAATAGTAAAAAAACAAAACAAAATTTTGGGAGACCTACTTTGGGATGGGGGAAGGGGAGAAGGCTCTCCAATGCATTGTTTTTGTTTGGCAGATAGCAACCATCTGCTATTTGCTACACACAAAAGAACACTTTTTTAAAAAGTAAGCCTATTTAGGAATTGTTGGGAACGTCAAAAACCAAAAGAAACACATGAATTTGAGGACCTACCCACTATCCCCCAACCCCAAAGTAGGTCTCCTAAAACACCTACAGTACTACCCTCAAAGCAAGTCTCCTAAAACTTAGTATTTGTTGTTTTTTTGAAAGTAGGTCTCCTAGTTTTTTCTTGGGTGGTTCTTCCCCCCCAACCCAAAACAGGTCACCCTGTTAATATTGATAGTCTTGTTCCTTCTGGTGTGGGGATGTGGTGAGCCAAGAATTTGAATATATTATGTGTATGGCTATACTTCTGACACTCGGAACTACTATTGCGAACAAGTGGTCATGATTTTGGGAAATACCCTCTGCAAAATGGTTCAAACACGTTCAACCAACTTATTAGGAAGAGCGCACAGTTCTTTAATATTATAAAAATAAATGAAATAGATCCTTTAGAGAAAGAGCTGGTGCTTCAAAACAACATTAAAGAAGGAAGACTGAAACTTTTGAACAGGAATATTACATGTGTCAAGAAAAATATCTTATATTGTTGCAGGAACATGGCTTCTTGAAGAGAATATTATTCTGTCTTGTAGGATACTTGCCGTTTGTTTTCAATAGTCATCTTTACAGGACCAGTTCAAGGTATAGTGCGTTGGTGCATTGGATATTGCATCTCAAAAAAGGTGGCTGCAAATTTGAAAACACGAAACATATGGTACAGAAATATTGCTTGTTTAAAGGGATACTGTACCGTGTGAAAGAAGATTATACTTTTTAAAAAGGTCCTTTAGAGGATTCCTCCATAGTTTGTAGGGGTATTGATTGTTGAAAAACCATTGCACTGAATTATCTCAAAGGAAAACCGCCAATGAATGAACAATGCTTTTTTGCAAGCAGGGGACCGTTCATTGTTATATTAAAGATTAAATTTTAGAGCAGGAATGATTACTTTAAACTCATGCTACACATTTTACAAACATATTTACCCTTCAAAGGAAGACTGTACTTCTTTTATAGATACCCTGCATCTTTTAGAACAAACCATGTTGTATTTTGCAAGGTTTGGTGGACAGGTTTATGCAACTATTTCAATGCTACTAGGGTGCAAATATATATATCAAAATGTTTATTCCTGAATTGTGATCCTTTGCCTTATGACTCTGATGCATTTCCTTAATTGCCTTCAATGTCTCCAGCAGATAACAGATATCATTCACAAGGTGACTCTTACACAGTAACTATGATCCTGCATGGGAATTGCATGGGAATTGCATGGAACTAGATTATATCCAAGAACTTCTGAATAAAAACATGACCTTATGGGTTTATGGTAATGTTTAGTACGTAATTTTTGGGTGGAAAATATGTGCTTAAAAGTGCAGTCTGTGCATTTGTTATTTAGGAATTGCAAAAGAAATGGAGCAAGAGCCAAGAGGTACTGTACTTGACTGGCTGTGTATAAATAAAACGAAAAGATGAACAACAAAACAAGAGGCTTGTTTACTGCAAATACCACCGAAAAATGCTCAAGGTAGGCCCTGGTGGGGTGACCATCCATATACATACATATATATATATATATATGCAGAGATATGTATGATACACATATGCCTCCCATCATTTTGGAAGATGATTTGGTGGAACGAACATGAACAAACTACCGAGACTACGGAATCTGGGGAAACCATCGGTGGCTATGAACCACTGGATTTACAGGTGGTAGTTGGTTTGTTGCTTCTTCTTCAAACCATTTCAAACCCATCCAACTGTACTAATTAGTGGTGTTTGGTTTGAAGCTAATTTGAAGACATTTGTCAATTGGGGTTATCACAGGTAGGGTTGAATCTTGTTCTGCAGGTTTCGCATCTCCGGCGCTATGGTCCCAAATCCCCCAGATTTTGCCGGTTGGGACTCAAACCAAGTGGAACAAACAACTCAGTTCACCAATCTGAAGCATCGCACTCTACCACTACCACAACCACTACCGCCCTTTGGAACCGCGACATCATAGAGTTCGTTCCCACAACATCTTCAATCAGTGATCTGCGCAAGGTGCTGCCGTCAATGCTCTGCTCGAAAATTTGGCCCTGCTTCGTCCGCAAAGCTCATCATCGTCTGAAATGCCGCGCCACCATGTCTGATTTCTAAGATGTTCCTTCGGAGCATATCCCAAGTGTCTCCAACACCCCAAACGAAAGGATTTTTTGAAACCCTCTTCAAGAGGCAGGGCTAGGTCTATTGGATCTTTCTGGTGTATATATATTCTGTTGTATCAACATATGTATATATAATTATATATATATATTATTACGATTCATTCTATTTCGTCATATAAAAATATGTGTACACATATATAAGCATATATATATCATGTAATAACTGAATTACAGATATTGCATTACAGATCTACAAAATATGACCACCATGTCCATGTGCGCTGTTGAATCTCCAGCCTGGACGGCACACAGAGGCCAGGCACCCTCCCAAGCGAAGCGCCCATCGTCCCCATCGTCCTGCCACGTAGCAATCACGACCAGAACTCCCAGTCCCAACTAGTGCAGGTTTTTATGGGGAATGTTGGGGAGTTCCATGGCCCACTTTTCGTTGCTGGATCTTTTTTTCGGATTGGAATCACAAATTTCTGTTTTGAAAAATGCGTGCCCACCTTTTCCCGAAAAGAAATCATGAAATGTAATGTAAATATATATATACCGTATATTTTTAGCGTATGGGTTTTCTCTTTCTAAAGGCAGTGTGTAAAGCTGAGGTATAGTAATGGCAAAGATTTCCAAGTAATTAACAGTTAACATGTGTAAAGATGTGAATTCGTTAGGCTATGAATCTGTTACAGTCATATATCATACATTATATATATATATATTCACATCCATACATGGTCATGTATCGATTCATTTTATTTGCAGTAATTCTATAGAATTGCAGGAAATGCAATCCATTGCTGGGATATTGATTGGGGTCTTATTGTATATGTATTAGATACACATGTCTACGGACACACAAGAAAAAAGTTGCTGATGTTTACTCCGTGTAGTATGTTTCAATGTACATATTTGGGGTAAATCGTTGTACAGTAGACCGTATACAGTTCATATTTTTTAGCATTTTTTTTTCCGTCAATTTTGGGTGGTCTACCCCGCAAATGTTCCCTTCAAAGTCCTTTGCGGCTAGCATGGCATGAGTCTCCTATGGGTCTGCGGTGTCCTTCAACGAATATCCTTGGGTCAATCCATGGATGTTCACCTTGATAATCTTGATGTAAATGCCGAGCTGAAAAAAATCTCATGCCTTTTCCCCGTGAAGCAGGTCTTTTCGGGTTTTTTCAACCAACATCAAGGCCAAATCAGCAACATGCAGGAAATCTCCGCGTAAATGGAAGGCTTGCGCTCTAGTTCACCTTCATTCTTAAGAAGTTATGTAGCTACCCGCCGGAAAATAAGACAGCTAGCCTCCGGGTATCAAAAATGATTTGCTGGAAATCCAGCCTGAAAATGGATAACATGGATTAAAACTCGCCAGCGAGTTCCGACACCGAAACCATGGATCTCGTTCGGGCCGGCTTCCCAGCAGCTCGCCATGTGAAATGCATGACACCAAAGGGTAATCTCGACATGGCGTAACCCATGATTCAGGTCTCATTTCCCCTGAGGAAATCTCTTCAAAAAATGGCTAAATCACCATCTAAATCACCATCAACTCATGATTTGTTTATCATCATTCTTAGCTGTTGTACAACTAAATCACCATTATAGTCATGACATCCCCATGTTCCATGGATAATGATAAATCACCCTAAACCGGTGACCACCCGGCCTGCACTTGACACACTTGACCTGGCACAAGAGAGGCAGTCCCGAGCTGCATAACTTTGTCCATGTGAAGTATCCAAAATGTTCAAAATCTTTGATTTAAATCTTGAGCTTCCAGAAGAACAATTCAGAATAATTCAGATATTTGCTACATTCTGTTTTTTAGATACTCCCAATATCTCCCAATTATGGATCAAGATACAGGTCAAACAATGTGAAGAAAACAAATTTGACACTTTTTCGATGGTGATTTCCTGTTTTCTTTGTTCTCTGGTTTTCTGTCACGACCTTTTCCTTCCGTGCCATGCAGTCAAGTCGACTGGAAGAAACTAAAAATCACGGGGATTGAAGTCACTGTTTCTGGCCAAGGGGATTCTTTCATATTTAACAGAAACAGTGCTACATAGTGATACCATGGGATATCGATCCCTGTGATTTCTGTGATTTCTGGGATACCCCATGGTATCCCTGTGGGGATATATAAATAGCACAAAGAATCACAGGGATACCATGGGATACTCAGTTTTTTTGGGCTAATCACGAAGCAGATCATAATACCTGCTCCTAATTCCCCATTTTTTTTATCATGTGAATTTCATACAATGTGAGGCCCCCCGTTCGATAGCGTTCAGTTGGTGAACATAACTCCAATGTCGCTATGGTTTATGGTACGCAAATAACTATAGTTACTGGGGCTTTTGTTAACCAACAAACATCACTGGGGGGGCCTCACATTGTATGACAAAAATCCCCATCTTAGATCATCATAATTTTTAGATGCTTGGGCTTCATCCTGAAGCCACAAATGGAAGCCTTGCCGCGCCTTCTTTGGAGGCCTCCAAGAGATGAAAGCGCTCAATGGCCTTGTCAAAATCGTTCCCTGGATGGCGGAAAGTCCAGCCACGGGCAGGGCAGGCTCCAAGCAGGGCTTGGTAAGTTGCTTGTTGTTTCTTTACATCCTCTGAGTTTGGTGAATCTTTGGGTTGAAAAAAAAAACAGAAATAGCAAACTCCTAAGAAAGTGTCGTTGCTTCGCCCAAAACCCCCAAACGTTTGCGTGGATTTCACCCACCATCCACCGGGTACTAAAAGGACACTACAGACTTAGGGCCCTTGGAACAAATCAGCTTCGGAGTCCCGTGGTGGTTGTCGAGAATTAGATCAGCTCAGAGTGAGAAGTGTTGAAATGGGGAGTAACTTGGCTAAAGCAATGTCATAAACTACCCATTTGGGAATGGTTCATACCACCTATTTATGCTGATTTGGGGGATAGGGGATTGTTGATTATTGTTTTACCCACATTATCTGTTCCTCATTCTTCCATCCAAATGGCAAGAATGCTTCACCCATGAGTTGTGAACAATGAGGCCTTGCAGATCAGACAACCAGTAAGCCATCAACTGGGGCCAACTATCCAAATAACATCAAATAGCTATGTATGCACATAATATACATACAATATATATATATATGTCTGAAAGTAGGGTAGCCCAAATTTTGATGCTTGGTCATAATTGTCCCTCTTAAACGGATAGTTAGAAGGTACACCGTATACCCCATTTTCAAACCCATCCATATATTTACATAGCTAAGTTGTATTGTTAAGTGGGGGGTTCCTAAAATGGGGCATCCCGTCCCCAAAAGCAATCCGAATCTGTGGTTTCAATCCTAAAATGCTCCAATTTTGGATGATTTGGTACCCCCAAAAAAATTTTACGAACCCCCAAAGGGGCTTTTTGGCGGCGGCCTGACACCATGAGGCCCAGCTTTTTGTGAAGCCTCTGTCGGATTCTCCTAGGGATGCTGGATGGCCATGCAGCGAATGAAAAAAATCTCCAATTCGGTGCTTGGTTGTTGGATGAAATCACCGGTTCACCCCCCTTCTGTTGATGAACTCTCGGTTCTTGTAGTTTTTTGGTCCCTCCATTTGCGGGTTGAATGTCCAGTCCAGTATCCATCAACCAAGTTATTTTATGGCTGCAAATCCCTGTGATTATGGCTTACATCACCATTTTGCAAGAAGAATAGGGGTTTGAGGCAATCGAAAACTCTGCCAAATCAACATCTTCATCTTCCAAAGCCCTTAGGTTATCTTAGATTATCTTAGATTCCAGCATGTTGATGTATTACAGGGTGGACCCCCGAGTGATGTATTTCCCTTTAACTAGCTCAATATCACTCACACCAAAAACCATCGAATTCACCTAGGCAAAAAAAAAACAACTTGGCATAACTTACCCTCTGGTAAACTAACATAGCTATGGAAAATCACAATTTTTAATGGGTAAATTAACTATAAATCACCATTTTCAATAGCTATGTTAAATTGACAGAGGGTAGCTATCGTTTGGGATTTAAAAAAATGATATCCTCCAGAATTTCCCACGGAATCCCAAATTTTTATTGCACCATGAACTCCCATGGAATCCCAACTAAATATACTAAACGAGATTCACTCCCATCTTTCCTCACCAGCCATCACCAGCCATAAACACTCCACAATCACCATGAAAAATCCCAGGAGGCCATGGCTGGGGATGATGTCCCGAATCCAATTCCCATGATTCCAGGGTGAGGGAGAACAGTGAGGTCACTATAATTTGCCCAGAAATCATCGTTTGATCACTATGAAACATAGTATTTCAATCATTTAATCACCAGAATCATGCTATAATAAACTATGTCATAGTATTTCTATGGCCATCTCCAGTAGCTGGCCGTAACAAATTATCATCGGTACCCCACGTGTCTCATCCATTTTATAGATGCTTTTTCCATTAAAAAATATATATATATATATATAAACCAGCCAGCGTTTTTGGGGTAGCCCCAATTGGAAAGGCCAATTTAATGGGTACCAGCTATTCACCACAAAGTACCAAAATTTCTTGTGGCTGGTTTACCCTCTGGTAATTTGTTACATAGCTATTGAAAATTGCCATAGAAATTTTGTTGATTTACCCATTAAACATCGTGATTTTCCATAGCTATGTAAACGTTTACCAGAGGGTATTACCAATTATTAGGGTAGCATCATTTCATCACTGGTTCGTCAGTTGGGGTTATGAAATTCCCAATATATGGAAAGTCATAAAATTCATGTTCCAAACCACCAACCAGGGATTAATAATGGTTAATAATGGTTACCCTCTGATAAATTAACATAGACCCTGAAAATAACATTTTGTTTGTGAAAACTAATCTTCCAACCCCTATCTGCCAGGGTCTATGTTAATTTACTGGAGGGTAATACATTCTATATGGGAGTAAGATTGGTTTGTAATTGTTAATCATGTGGTTAATAAGCCTTACTTTTTTTGTGATTAGTGATAGCTCCCATAGTCATGGTGGTACCCCCAAATGGATGGTTTATTTCATGGAAAATACCATTACTGGTTGGTGGTTTCAATCCCTCTGAAAAATATGAGTTCGTCAGTTGGGGTTATGAAATTCCCAATATATGGAAAGTCATTCAAAATTCCATGGTTCCAGTCACCACCAACCAGCATGGATTAGTAATCAGTAATTAAATGATAGTTTCCATAGTCATGGTGGTACCAATGGATGGTTTATTTCATGGAAAATACCATTAATAAATGGATGAGAACTGGGAGTAGCCTCCCACCTCTTCATGGCCCGGTTGGGCGCTTCGCAGCTCGCCGCCGCGGCTCGTTTCAACATCTCCTCGCGACGCCGCCGCGAGTTTTTCGGTGAAGCTGCCAGAGACTCACCAGCTGGAGGCTGATAATATCTGATAATCATAATTCATGGGTTCATCAAAATTCATCATAATTCATCAGAACTCATCATTGTCATAATTCATCATAATTCATCATAATTCATCACTGGAGGGTGATCATCATGTTTTCACCCTTGAACACCAATAAAACTATTGATGATTATTGATTATCACATATTATCACCAGTAATCAGACGTGGCAAAGGAATCTATGGAATATCACCCATGGAAACTTCGATGATGTTCCCATTCAACCCCTGCTTTATGGAAGGATGTTCAATTGCCATCTTTGGAAATCCACCTTAAATGTCGTAACATGTCGTACCCCATGGATGCAAAGATGCAAAGATCATGTCACTTCCATGGAGAGGATGAGCTCCCTATCATTTCCAGCTTTCCAAGGTATGTTCTATCTTTTTGGGGGGGCCTTTATATCTGATTTTACTGAAATCACAAAAAGAAACTGGGTGCATAGTGAAGTACCTGATTTCAGGTATAGTTTTGATTTCTATACAGGACAGTGCCCCCCAGTTATCAGCTATTTTAAAAAACCCTATGAACTACGTATAGTTATATCTACCATAAACCATAGTTAAACCACTTATAAGGCAACTTAGCTATCTTGGGGGCCTCCTGTATTTCTGATGTTATAATTCACCTGAAATCAAACAGGGTATAGTCGCCCCCTCACGCAGCGAGGTCCTCACAATTCATCCAGAAATGGTTGGTTGATGCCATCTTTAAAGACTTTGGGGGGAAAAGACCATGGAAATCCTACAAAATGCCAGGAATGATGGGATCAAGCAAGGGATGTAAAACGGCCATAACAATGGAAACATCATATGGAAACCGCTCCCTTTTTATGGGGATTTAATGAGCAATTATCAGATTAAAATCGGATTGTAGTGGGATTGTCATGGGGAAACCAAACATACTGCCGCCAAATCTACGGGGGTTTGTGTAATTTTACGCCAATGCTGGAGTCATTTTGTTGGAAGAAAATCATTTATTTATTTAATAACACTCTTTGGGGCACTTGGCACTTTTCACTTTCATTCAAACAAAAATGAGACTGTGTTTGTGAATTGTGCCAGTGATGTACCATTGAACATTGAGCTATTTCCTGCCCATCTCTACTCACACTGCCCAGTGATAATGACATCGTTGGGTACCTTGAAAATGACGACTCTCCCGCAAAATAATTCAGGTACTGAAATCAATGAGGTGCTTACTACCTAAAAACTGGGAATGGATGTGCCCAGCAAAGGTTGATCTAGCAGAAATTGTTGGAGTACTGCTTTTGCTGGCAATCAAAGTATTTTTGGGGATTTAAGCAACAAATCTAGTGTATTACAAGTCAGCAAACATAGGGATGTTTGGCAAGTTCCATTGGATGTTCCCGGTCATTCAGCAAGAAGAAGGATATTTTGGATGCGAACAAAGTAAAGACCAGGGTACTCCCCAACTTCTGGCTATCTTTTTAAGTAGAGACGTTTTTTTGACCAAAACATCATGTTGTTGGTACATTGGTACCGGTCATTTCACATAACTATGGAAGATCACAAATCTTAAAGAGGTAAGTCATCAGATGGGCCGTGGCTTCCATAGCGAAAAAAAATCTGATCGGCAAATCTCCGAGAAGCTGAGCGTGTCTGGGATACCAATTCTTCCATGATAAATATATATATATGAATAGGTGTGTATGTATATATATATATATCCTGTACATAATATATACATATATATATATACATATATATATACATATATATATATCATGTATAATTGGTTGTGAAACCTGGTGGTCACCCCTCTAATCAACCGCCTGGCCCTTGGATTTGCTTCAGGGTACTACCAAAAAAGAATTTTTGTTCGTCCAGGATACTGCCCCTTTCCGGTGGATGAACCAATGATTTACCGCACAAATTGAAATCTTCCCGCTTTCACGGTTGAATTACCCTTTTGGGCACGAACAACCAGGTTTATGGAATAAATCCCTCTAATATCATTCACATCCCATTAATTCAGTTCATATTATATCCATCTCAGATTACCATTCTTGTTCGTTAAATCATCGTTAAATTCAAATCTTTGCACCCAGGCGCCCGGCGCCCGCCCAAAAAACGGGCGTCAAAACCGCTGCCTCGACTTGAGCCGGCTTTCGACTTGACTTGGCCTTGTTCGCGCCGAGGCGCAGGAGAATGATGGAGAATGGGACTTCGTCATAGGAAGCAGTCGCAGTGGGGCACTGCAAATTTGTAAAGTGAGGGAAAATGAATGGAAACATGTATATATATATATGGAAACAACAATTAGACATATTTTAAGGACACATGATAAAACGTGGATCCAAATTCCAAGACCAGCCTTGACAGTTGTGAAGTATCGGGGACAGTTGTAATGAGGGGTGGTAATGTGAGTCCAATTTTGAACCTCAGTCACCTTGCAGAAGCAGGGCTCAAAAATGTCAAAAATGGCTGCAACATGCTGCAAAGCTCCTGAATCTTCGGGGATCGAAGGAGTGAACATTGCCTCGAACCATCAAATATGAGGATGTACAAACACTTGTTTGTGATTTCAATCCCTCTGAAAAATATTAGTCAGTTGGGACGATTGTTCCCAATATATGGAAAAATAAAAAATGTTTGAAACCACCAACCAGAACATGTATGTAGCCAGGCGAAAGGCGATAGCCTAGATCTGGGATCACTGCTTCAGCCAGGTTTTTTGATGCCTAAAATGGTACTGCTGAGCCTGAGAACAGAGGCCCGATATTCCCGTGATGCTGTTGTCAATTAGTGTCTTCCCTAGTTGCCACTCCATCACGTGATCAAATTCTATCTAATTCTGTCATCATTTACAAAGGTGAAAAAGTGCAGCAACCCCGCAATCCCGTTGTTTATCATCTGATTTTCCTCATCAACATGCTACGTAGTCAGCGTCCCCAAAAAGCCTGCCCTTCGTAACTTGCGTGCGCCCCCAGCCGTCTTGGCTGTTGAACGTCCAAGGAACAGTTCCACCACAAGATGCGTCGGCTCGGGTTGGTGGCAGCCGTCACTTGAGCCAGCGGCGTCTGTAATGCTACTGGGATCGGCCATGGGATGAATGTGAACTGTGATAACTCCCATATGCTCCATGGTGCTGGAATATTTACCAACATTTGCCCGAACAAAATCACCCAGTTGTGTAGGTCTAGGTAAATATACCATATATATGGGACTGGTATGGACTGGTGGGTTAGTAAGCAGCTTATTTAGCTAAGTTATCCACCAACCAATCACGGCAATCGAACATCGTCTTGGAAAATGGTCTATAAATGGTGGATGGTCCAGCCATGTTTGATTCCCGGAGGGTAGCCCCTGAAATATACCCAGTTGTAAGATGTTATAAGGAGAACCAGTAAACTAACTCAGTAAACTAACTCATCCCATTGTGCCATCGTAAACGCATACAACTGGCTCCAATGCTCCAATCCAACAACCCGTTGTGGGTATCTCTCCAAGACCAAGCAGGGGAAAGCCAAACGGCAAAACCAACGGTAAAACCAACGGTTTCCAACGGGGACGTAGCAATAGATCCAAGAGTTACCATCCAGTTGGAAAGAGTCATCCCTTTTGGCTCAGTTTTTCACACAATGAGGCGAGAAATTCTGGGATCACCTGGCATAAAAGCAGCGCCAGCAGTGTTCTGAACCCGCGAAGTCATGAAAATGAAATACTGGCTGGTGAATAGAAATTCCCCTAGTGGATTATGATCATCCCCACTATATTGTCTCCGGACTCTAGGCTTTTCAACCCTTCTGATGTCGGTCCACTTCAGGATCCCCAAAAGAAGGGGCAGGCTTTTTCAAAGCATTGCCAAAAACATTGCCAAAATCGTCTCTTTAGGTCATCTCCCAAAAAAAGAATCCTCATCCACCAATCCAAAACGTCTCTGGAGGTCATTTCTTGATGTCTTCAATTCGTCCTCCAGCTTCTTGTTTTCTGCGTGCCCGCTAATGACCTTGGTGCGTGGGAGAAGACCACATGGGGTAATCGGATTCTCTTCCCCCATTGGATCCCCTGTAAGACCAAGTATATCAAACGAAACCATGTTATAGTCGTGGATCCAATCATGATCAGGGGATTCTTCACGGCCCTCAGGGCATATCGGGGAACTGTCTTAGTGGTATCAAAAACAGCCAACATTCCGTTTACATCGGGGATAGACGCACAAAGTCGACGACAAGTTTCGTATTCATCTTTCATAATTATGGGGGTTTCCATTTTTCTGGGGATATCCCGAATGGATGGTTTTTCTAAGGGAAAATCCATATATCTATGATTATATAAACCATATAACCATAAATAATCCATAAATAATCCATAAATAATCCATATATCCACTATATGGTATCCCATCTATTAAATTAGATGATTTAGGGGTACCCCCATTTCAGGAAACCTCCAAAAATATCTTGTGACAATCCGACTCCCTGCGGTCCCTGCGGCCAAAAAAAATCTGAAACCTGGCTGGCAAATCACCATCTTTTTCAGTAGATACACTTGATATGATTGTTGGAATCATGTACACTTAATCTATGTTAATCTATGTTTATCTATGTTAATCTATGTTAATATTCTTTTTAATCATCTGGGAATGCTATATAATTATATAATGTTGTTTCCTTTCCAATACATAAGCCTCTTGGAGTTCTATCCTCCTCCAGAAAGTCATTTTTTCAGCGGTGAAAAAAAGCGGGGGAGTACCACAAAAAACCATTAAATCCCAAGATTGTGTCGCCACAAAAATCCCAGTCCCATCAAATGCTGGTCAACTCCTCATTTTCCTATAAATCTTAGATAAATCCTCGTTTTTGATGGTTACATCCTAGATAAATCTTCGTTTTTGATGCTCAAATCCACCACAAATCGTGGTAACGCCGGGGTGCATAGGTGTTTGCACCCACGGAGGCTTGCACTTTGGGGGAGGCGAAGTGTAACACCTCGCCGTCCTCTTTGAACATGTTCACCTGGAAGATACTTGGTTAATAATGGGATCTGGTTGATGGTTGACCTACCCCTCTGAAAAATATATTCGTTCGTCAGTTGGGATTATGACATTCCCAACATCTGGAACAATCAAATTCATGTTCCAAACCACCAACCAAGGATTAATAATGGTTAATAATGGTTAATAGATTCTATATGGGACTAAGATTGGTTAGTAATTACTAATAATGTGGTTAAGAAGCCCTACTAATTGTGATTAGTACATGATAGTTTCCATAGTCATGGTGGTACCAAATGGATGGTTTATTTCATGGAAAATACCATTAATAAATGGATGAGAACTGGGAGTACCCCTATTTCAGGAAACCCCCACATTGGAAAAAAATACGGGAATTAAAGCCACAAAAAAACGGTGATTTTGAATGGATCTTCATAGGGTGAAATGGAACTCATAATGGATTTGAATGGGATTTAATGGAAAATCGAGTACAGTTGTGTGTAACACAATGTTAACTATGGAAAATCACTATTTTAACTATAGGTGTGTGTGACATTATTCAAATTAACATTAACATAATATATGCACAGAACATAGTGGAATACAACCTACGGTGCAGGACTGGGGTGATGTAAACATGGCACCATGCTGAGTTCACCCTAAGTTGGGTTTTTGTTGATCCTCTATGTTGAAACCTATCTATGTAAAATCATGTAAAATCACTGTTTTTAGTGGGTAATGTTTTCATATCAATGGCCATTTTCAATGGCGCGAAGTGTCACAAATTACCGGCTATGGCAGCTATGGGAAAGCTTGTGCCGACCCCAGCCTCCTCAATTCCTGGGATGTTGTTCACACCTGGCGATCCGAGATGGCTGCTCTAGGGATCTTGTTCCAATGATTTTGGGGGCCTTTCTGAATGGGCCAATTGCGTGAAAAAATCGTCTACAATCTACAAATATCACCAATGTCATCGAAGAAACTTTATAGAACTTGACAATCTGACAATTAGAACTATATAGTTCTTACAATTATCAAGATAGAACTTCTCTGGTGTGCATGTTCTTTCAATAACGCTTCTTCCAATCTCATGATCCAATCTCATGATTCAATCTCGTTCTGAGTCCAGGAGAAATTCCGCCATCCCATGACTTCTTGCGGTTGGTCCATACTGCTGTATCCCTATGAAATGGATCACAAAATTATTGGGTCCCCGAGAACTAAACCAAGCAGCTCAACAGTCCAGTATATATCTGGTTGGTGGTATACCTACCCCTCTTAAAAATATGAAGGTCAGTTGGGAGTATTATTCCCATATATTATGGAAAAAAAACAAACCACCAACCAGATATAATCACCAATATATCATCGTTTCTCCGATTTATCAATGACATCCACATTGGAAGCACATGCCATACCCATCATGTATTCATTGCGGCTTCAATCACATCCCCTCTTTAAGAGGGTCAGACACCCATAGAAAGTTGCTGGTGAAATCATCATTTTCAAAATGGTTAGATCCCAATAACCATCAATCTTAAAGAACAATCTGTCACATCATCGTGTTTTAATATCGGGGTGCCAATTCATTATGTGAAGCTGTGCAGGAGTTTTAGAGCGGTCTAACTTTTGTGCATAGGCCTCAGGCTTTAAAATGCACAAAAACAATGAAAACTGGCTCTGCAATAAAATGCCTTGCCACCAAATTCATGCTTGAATGTGCATCCAACATCATCCAATTTCATCCAATTTTGAAGACCCTCAGAAACGCATCTTTAAAAAGAGGTCAGGAAATCCATTTTAGATAGGTGTATTTTAGAGTAAAGGTGCCCAAATATTTAGTGTGTTTTTTTAAAATAGCATTCTATAGCAACAAAATACGGTGGCATTCTTTCGTGGCAATTCCTTAAAATTCCTTAAAAATCCTTTAAATTCCTTAAAATTCCAAAAAACTCCTTTAAAATCCTTAAATATCCTTCAAAATTTAAAAACATTAAAGATCCTTAAAAATCCTCCGAATTCCTTCAAATTCCGTCAAATTCCTTTAAATTCCTTAAAATTCCTCTAAGGTTCCTTTAAATTCCTTAAAACTCTCTAAATTCCTTAAATTTCCTTATAATTCCTTTAAAATTCCTTAATTATATTCCTTATAATTCCTTTAAAATTCCTTAATATTCCTTAAAATTCCTTAGAATTCCTTAAAATTCGCTGATCTAAAATGACATGCCCAATAAAATCGATATAAAAAGATCCTGGAAAAAACACTGGTTCCATTCTGCAAATAAAATGCTCCAAGCAAACATTGTTTTGCAATAAAATGAGAATGGAATTTTAACATGTTAAAAATCATCAGGATTTACCTTTACAATAAAATGCTTAGCCCAACCCCCCAACAATAAAATGACTAGCCTGACATCAATTTTAAAATTCCAATACATTAAGAATTTCGCTTAAACTATGCACAGGTTCACCAGTTCTAGAGTGGAAATTGCCACGGGGATGTTTTAATGATATATCCATAGTCTCAATCCTCTTTTTTGTTTTCTTTCTTACCTCATGTTTTCTATCTCCATTTTTTCCTGCATTTTCTCATGTTCAATCCCCATTTCTCATGAATCAGTTCGATCCCCAGTTGGAGAATCACCCAGTAGAATCCCCCAAGCAGCTCGCGGCCTAAACGCTTCAGCTGCGCTTGTAGCTGCTTGTCCTGGAATTGGGGCCGTGGATAGTGACCCCTAATTCATTGCTAATTCATCATGGAAATGATGTGAACTGCTTTGAAACTAGCGTTGAAACTATATGATGAGATATGACTGTTATGACTGTTGCGTTTATAAGTGTTATTATAACATGCTACAACTGATTTATTTATGATTAGTTACGTGTTTTGTTGGTTGTCTCCTTTACTCCCATGCACCGACACCATGCTGTGGATATTGTGAATTTTCCGTTTTTGGATACTTCTCAGGGGATCAATTTGGTATGGCTCAAAATGATTGACTCCGAATAGCTGGCATCATTGGATACCAATTTTTAGATCAGCCTAGCCCAGTTCAGCATGGGCACCCTATTTTGGAGCCAACCCCAGTGAAAAACACAACATTTTGTTTCATTCTTCTGCATATTTTTACCTCCATCAAAAACCCTTCGTAGAAACGCTTCCATAAATTCACCTCCATACACAAAAAAAAAAACATACCCTCTGGTAAACTAACAGTTCGCTATTGAAAATGGCCCAGTCGAAATAGTGGATTTACCCATTAATAGCATATTGATTTTCCATAGCTTTTTGTTCACGTTTACCATTTCGGGCATCCATCCATCTCACATCACCGAGTCAACACCGTCAAAAATGACGAGCCGAGCCGCGTCGGCGCCGTTGTTCACGTGCTTGGAGAGCTTCGTTCTCCGGGCCGTGCCCTTGCCACCGGTGCGGACCTCGCCACACCGCCGTTGAGTTTTCCACGAATTTCCCAGGCTGCCGGGTTTGATGAATTCCGGTTGGATATTTTTGGGGTGTAAGTTCAACCAAAAATAGAAAATGGGATAGCAAAAAAAAAAACGATTTTTTATGAGATGCAATGGGTATAAAATCAACAAAATAGCGGTATAGAGGGATGTAATTAATGGGATATAGAGCCAACAATATGATGTGGGTTTGTCATGGTTTGCCCAAAATATGGCAGTTTTAGTCAGGAAATTATAGAAAATCTACGTAAATGTCATGATTCATAACCTCCTTTTCCTCAGCAAAACTGTCATTTTGGGGCATCGGGGCATTCCTCAAGTTTTGGAGAAACCAGACTCAAGTGAGGATGCGTGGATAAATAATCAGAAGCATGATGATCTGACACATGAACAATGTATTGGTAAATCCTCTCAAAATGTATATCTGATGATTACGTCATCATATATCCCATTGAATCCCATTACATACCATTACATACCATTACATACCATTTTCATATTGTTGGCAATCGAAACTCCCTGTGTTTGGAGTTTTGTTTGTGTTCCATGGCCGGGTTAGATGAAACAACAGTAGCCACAGGTGAAAAAGGTGATGAACATCGTCCTTAAATCGAAGTGAACTGATTTATGCCACTTAAAATTGGGCTATATCATAGCTATATCCATGGCTATATCCTCTTAATATTTTGCAATTTCCAAAAGCAGAGCTGGGCGCCCTGCTGCATTGAAGCGCCTCGGCGACTGCGAAAATGCCAGGGCCCAAGGGCCAAGTTGCAACTATTAAATTGGAAGATAATAATTAAAAGAGTTCATAGGAAACATAATGGATATCTATGGATATCCCTATTGCTGCAAATACCCTCTGAATACCCTCTGAGAGGAGGTTTTATCAGACTCAAACAACAACCTCAAACAGCTCAGGTGTCTGGAGCTGTCGGGGTATGTCAATGGGTCAAAAGTATTCAAAAGTGGGGTACCAATGGACCTACAATTTAAAAGGTCATGTGTGCGTCATGAAACATCATAAACCATTCATATTTGTCGAAGAAGTTTGAGGCTTATCTTCTTATTGCACTGGCCGCCACTGGCCATTGTCTTAGCGACGATTGCCAAACGTCACGTGCTGGTTTCAGTGGCCGGTGCCTAGATGATTTTCGCCAGAAAGCTCCTGGTTTCTGCCCATATTTTACAAATGTGTTTTTCCATTTAAACCTCCATTTAGAGTGTATTTCAACATACCACCACCCATTTGAACCGCAGAAGTTCTGGCACGTTGATTTCTCGCAAGGGCGTCATCTCTAAAGCTCCGCATCCCATCTGGGATGGGGTTGGATCTAGGTGATGTGGTCAAGCCTTCAGCAGGAAAAAACTGGTTGTTGGGTACGCTGGTTTTTGAATAATCCCTCAATGATCAACGAGTTGCTTTCTAGATGTGTTTTTTTTTATGTCATTGTTATCAAACAAATCGTGAAACATATCGTAAAGATTGGATACCAGTATGCTTGGTGATTGGGTTTACCACATTGTCAAGGTCTTGGAGACTTTGGGAAAAAGCTCAGCCAACCACTGGCCATGAATGTGCTTATCTGCTGCAATTTCCCGTGGCAACATGCATACATAAGTCATTTAGGTCTATATATATATTAATATGTATATATATATATGTATATATGTATATGTGTGTGTATGTATATGTGTAATATACAAAATGTCCATATAAGTACATCATGTACGGAATGTACGTATATAATATATGTATACTGTATAGTATGTATAGAAAGCAGTCATTCCCTGAGGACAACTCAGATCTACGGTTTCCTCAACTTGCCAATGGTTGGTTCGGCAGTGACAAAATGCATCTTCATGCATCAATCAGAAGAACTCAGCTGCGACCGTGAGCGCAGTTCTTGCGGCTTTGCTTCCCGTGTCTTCTCAAAATAGAACTGAAATGGAATCTCATTGCTGGCCGATCTTGGCACAACTATTTCTGTATCTCATTCTTCCTCATTCTTCATATTTTGATATCAAAGATAATTAACAACATGAAGATCTTTTAGTATGTATGTTCAACAGTTCTGAGAGAACACTCCCTAAATTCAGCAGGAAAGCTGACAATCAGGGCGGTGTGGTGTGTAGTTTTAACTCCCAGAAAAGAACATTAGTCATTGGGAGCATCAAGCCATTTCTATGGTGAAAAGTAAAGAATCAATGAAACCAGCAGCCAGTTCAGGTTCCATTCACAATTTACGTAATTTACGGCTCCCAACACCCCAGATAGTATAAATTCAAAGGAAAATTATCAATCCCCCTGGTGGCGATCATTATCGATCATTTAGCCTATAATTTCTTGCAGCAACCCTGGTTTTCCCAAGCCATGGAGGTTTTCCATCACCATGTGGCTATGAGTCAAAACGTCAAAACCCTGGCATCCTAGATACCCTAAAATGGCCTGTGAATTTTTATGGTGATTCCACTAAATATATATAGGTAACAATATCTGGTTGGTGGTATACCTACCCCTCTGAAAAATATATTCGTTCATCAGTTGGGATGATGAAATTCCCAACTGAATGGAAAAATATAATTCATGTTCCAAAAGCACCAATCAGGAGTTGTTTTTTTCCACCTCCACTAAATACAGGTAACAATATGGCAGTGTGTCAAAACCAATAGTACCCCTTTTTTGTTCACATCAAAAAATAGCTGGGTTAAAATGGATGTTCATTCCCCTAAAAATGGTATTATATAATAGATATTGATCCATAGCCATATAGGTTTTGACCCATCTCCATCTTTCTTTCCAGAAAACGTCCAGGGTCCAGGCAAGGCCAGTGGCCTTGCCTGGACCAGCTCAACGGCGCAGGGTGTGGTCCAGGGCTCTACTGTCAGCATCTGCGCCCAAACGCATCACCATTAACTCCTGCATCACCATGGGAAATCCCATAGGAAATCCCATGGAAAAACCAAGAAAAAAAAGGGAAATTCAACAACAAGATGGATCGGGAAAAGATTGGGATGCCCCCATTCTTATGGCCTTCTGAGGGAAAATCATGATCCAAGAGAACTGGATCATGGACATTTTTCCCTTCCAAATCTATCCCTGTCCCAGGGAAATAGCTTTATTTTGCGTTTTACTGTTGGTTGAATCATCAAACAAAATGGTGATTTCTGGTGATTTACAACCCAACAACTTGTGATTTATGGAGATTGGAAATTATGTTTTTTATTGATTTACAGAAGAGGAAAGGCCGCATTACAACAAAAAGTGCTATACACTATTGACAGTGTTAAGTCATTTGATTGACCAACGAGGTCATGATAGAGACACAATCGTGTTTGTTTTCTACAACGTGATGAAGAATGGCGACACTGAAGTTAATGATTAGCTCTTCATGATATCCTAACAGCCTTGTGTTGAAGTAATCGCCAGCCCAAATACACTCAATAAAACCCTAACAACCACAACAATTAACCCTCTTATCCAAAGCAAACATTAGGTGAACATGTTTGACGAATTCTCCCCAGAAACCCGATAACATAAATCATCAAAACCAACGAAGAAACGTTTTTCACCCCAACATTTTAAAACAATAACAACCAACGGACAAACATAGGTCACGTCACCAGAGCGCTGGAGTGTTGTCACCTATGAAATGAACCATTTTCAAACATCTCATTCGAATTTGCAACCCTCGTGGGTGTTTCAAGAACATCGATGACATTTCTCAAATACATGACAGTCAAAATTCCTTGTAACGCGGTCAAAATATGACTTCTTTCTGCTGAAAACACCGCGAGGTTCATCAAATTTGACTGCGCAAGTTGTAGCACCCCCTTTTTTTTCTTTGGCGGTCAGCGAGTTTCTGCACACAGTTGTCCAAGTTTAGAGCGTAACATCAAGAGCGTCTTACGCTAAGAGCGTAGCATCAAGAGCGTCTTACAACTTACAAGAAGTTCAGAGCGTAACATCAAGAGCGTCTTACAAGTTAGGAGAAGAAGTTAAGAGAGTAGCATCAAGAGCGTCTTACAACTTACAAGAAGAAGTTCAGAGCGTAACATCACGAGCGTCTTACAAGTTACAAGAAAATTCAGAGCGTAGCATCAAGAGCGTCTTACAAGTTAGGAGAAGAAGTTAAGAGCGTAGCATCAAGAGCGTCTTACAACTTACAAGAAGAAGGTCAAAGCGTGTGGCAAGGTACAGTGCAAGAGAGAGTTGATAGCATAGCAGCAAGTCCAAGAGCATATCTTTTGTAAGACGGCCAGCCAAGAACGTTATTAGCCCCCCCAACCTCTCCCGCAAAAAAAACACACAGACACCGAAACAACAGTGCAAAATAGTGCAACGCGCGCGCGCTCCTAGAGGCGCCCACAGCACAAACATACATGCCCCAGAATCACCCCCTTTTATACCCTTTGGATATTGAACACTTCGCTCTTGGAAATGGTGATTTTCCAGTTCGCAAAGTGTAAACTGTATTACCAAAGGTTACTGTAAATCCAATGATCACAATTAAAACAGATCTATATTCCCATTTCATCCCATTTCATCCCATTTCCCATGAAAAAATCCGATTCAAACATGTCCCGTCACCCAAAAATCCTCACGCAGGGTGTCCCCGGGTGCCGCTCGCCGGCTCGCGCAGGACCTGACCGTTTCGCTACGGCCACCGGGAAAAGCCATATGATGTTTATGGTTATGTGGAAAATACCATGGATAATGGTGGTTTAATGGTGGTTTAATGGTGGTTTAATGGTGGTTTAATGGTGGTTTATGGTGATTTGGGGGGATCTCATATCTGTTTGCTGGTTGACCTACCCCTCTAAAAATTTGAAAGTCAGCTGGCATCCTAGATACCCTAAAATGGCCTGTGAATTTTTATGGTGATTCCACTAAATATAGGTAACAATATCTGGTTGGTGGTATACCTACCCCTCTGAAAAATATTTTCGTTCATCAGTTGGGATGATGAAATTCCCAACTGAATGGAAAAATATAAAATGTTCCAAACCACCAACCAGTTATGGTTGTAAAATGTTATAAAATGTGTTATACATATATTATAAATGGGGTTATATATGTATACGTGTACCTGAAGCTTCCACCCCTGCATAATTTGCGTACCTAGTGCCAGGTACAGAAATTCCAAGCTCCAAGACTGAAAACAAACCCCAATCAAAATTTCTGTACCTGGAAATTTTGGATTCTATGAGTTTTGGGGATCTCCAGCTGTCCCATCCACTTCACCTTGCTCCAGCCTCACTTCTTGCCGGCAGTGTCCATGAAGCCAATCGATAATCATGAAGAACAATGGGTAATTTCAGTGTGTTGAATCTTGTTTAAAGGATCAATCATTGCAAAGTTCAGCATCAATCAAACCACTCGCGATGAGCCCCTCCAATTTTGGCTTCGCTCCCAATCGAGCCATGGGTTCACCGTCCTTCTATACAATCAAGTGACTCGCCTGCTCTATTGCCACTGTGCTGCTGATGTTTTTCAAGATTATTTTGGTTAGGGTTCCCAACTTTCAGCTTACTGTGGGTAAACCGGTATAAGCCCAAACATAAACCAGAAACAAATGCTATCAAATATAGAAATTGTTTTGGCAACAAAGCGGCTAGCACTTGAACTTCTGTTTCTTGAAACGCTTGATAACAAACCTTGCTTTGACTTTGTATGCAAGGATGGTGTTGTGAACAACGTTAACATAAGATACACGTCTTGACTGGCGAGCCACGCGCCCGATAAAGTCTTCACTCATGCTGCAATCAAACAGGGCAGGGTTGCAAGCTAGATGTTCACCTGATGTTTCTAGCTCCACTGGAAAATGGTGCATAGAGTGGATCTTTGGCACCATGGCATACAATTGCAACTGACGCTGGTAGGTGTTGTGAGCAAGCCTTGCATAGTTTTGAACGAATCCCAAAGCTGAACGCGAGATACCCTTTCGGCAAGACTTCTTCAACCATATGCCATGCCGATGTATGGCCTGAAAGGCCAGTGCACTGTCAGTAGCTTGAACGATCAGGGGAAAAACAATCGAAGCTGGATCTGCCACTCGCTGAAGCCCACCCAGAAATCGTAGCCACCTGAGCAGCAGAATGGAATCACTTCCCTTGCAGCCTAGCCAAGGAAATGACCCCATTGTTGGCATGTGGAGCTTCTCCTTTGAAAACGACCGAACCCCGCTAGTCGAAACAGAGTGCGTGTCACACCACAATGTGAAAGCCATCCAAGCACGTGCCAATCTCTCTTGAATGGCGCGTGATGCACCCTGAATGTCAAACACACCTTCCAAACATAGGAGAACGATTGTTGAACCAATGAAGTTTCGAAATATGCCAAGCCGACAAATATGAAAAGGGTCTTTCTTAAAGAACCGTGCTGCTTCGCCAGAGTTCCAGTCAGTAAATGGGATGTGCCGAAATGGGGGTAATTCTGTCCATGGCGGGCTTCGATACAGTGAATCCTTCCATTTAGGATTTGAAGAAACTTCTTCGAATGGAAACTGCATAGAACCTGCCAGACATTCACTGCAGCATGGAATGAAATTCTTGTGCCCAACGTTCTGGTAAGAGCGATTGAGTAAGCCTGTCTTTGCATGCCACTCGAAATCACCAGCCATTCCCAATATAGCAACATGATAGACAGTATTGCCGATAGCAATGCCGTCACAGCAAGCGACCCTGAGGTCCATGGACATCGCTTCAAGCATCGACATCAGCAACCCAGGCGTCGATTTGAATTTCTTGCTGGGGAACGCACAAGTGAGAAAGTGCGTGAGGTAACTGGAGTGCTTGTTGTTCAATCTTTGGGCCATGGGACTAGACTTCCTAGCACCACTGTAGGTCGAGGTTTGGCTGCACTTGCATTTGAGAATGTTAGCCTCTGTGTCAAGCCCCAGTGCAGGCCTAAAACTAAGCACCTCCAATGGTTGCTTTTTGAGGGTGCGTCCAGAATCCCCATGCAAAATCAATGGGATTGTTTGGTCCAAACGAATCTTGTTCTCAGCTGCCATTCGAAACACTTCATGGGACCCATGCTCTGATCTGTAAAGATTCCAAAAGGTGGCCAACAGTTGCCGTGCTTCTCCTCCAGGCTTCAAGCCACCCAAAAGCAACCAGGGCTCATCAGTCAGTAGATAGTTGAGCATGTGCGTTGGTTTCAAATAAGGCAAGCTGACAGTAACCCCATCCTCTTCAAACACGTGGTAGGATGTGGGAACCTTCCTCAAGGGAAACATTTCGAATGATCGAAACACCCCATAGATTGAAGCATTTGTTCAAGGGCTTTTCCAAAAACACATCAGTATAAAAACTTTTGTAACCCAACTGAGCGTCAATGCAAAACCATTGGCTTTGACAGCTCGCTGATATTGCCTAGATGCGTTCTTGCGCTGGCAACCCAGATCTTTGGTGGATAGTTGCATCGCATCCCCTTCCATCTCCTCGGCCAGGGCATCAGCATGCTCAGCCAATGATACTGCCGGAGCCTGGGCGAAAAGACCGGGGTGATTGGGAGGCAATTCTGAGTGGAATGTGGCAGCCCCATTGCATGCAAGAAACCCCATCAGCAACCTTTTCAATTAGATGTTCCAATAAAGGCTTGTCAACGTCATTGGCAGCATCATTTTGACCTGGCACAGCTGTTGGCAGGGAATACAAGTTGATGTTCGTTGAACCAGTGTAAGCTGTTTTGCATTGCTGGATCCAAGTGTGAGTCATTTTTCTCCAGGCCCCAAAGCGTATGGTGCGCACGGGCGTGTGTTGCATCATGTGATCGCTCTCCGTTTTGCCCATTGTACAAGGATGTTTGTCACCCTTGTTGGGCATCATCCCCAAAAAGTATGTGCCAACATGATACCAGAAACAGCCTTCACAATGCACTGGTGTTTTTTAGAGTCTAGAATCAATATGAACCAATGTGCTGTTGTCACGGCTGGCACATAACAAACCCTTGTGGAGCAGTACCGCTCACATAGTCATAGTCACCTGTTTCTTTGACCTTCTACTTGCGAGACTTTGGTTCAGTCTTTACTTTGGTCTTTTTCTGGGGGCAGGGAGTGTTGCCCTCGTCACGATCCCGTTCCCGTTTTCTCTGCTCAGCTTTGATGTGGTTCATAAATGGCCTCGGCCCAAGACAGTTGGTGTAGACCATTGTATAGACCAATATCCCTTGGGTGTTTAGACATCTTTCCAAACATCGGCTGAACTCATCTTATTCAGTTGGACCACATATGGAAATCCAGGTTCCACACCGCCCACGCGTGCAAAGGCTCAAAGCTTCCGCGCACCTCGGGCCACAGAGGGCTAGAAGGACAGCAAGAAGTGGAATTAACAAAAATGGAAGGGCCAGAAGCTCCCAAAAAATCCGTACCACTGAACAGCATTTTTTCTCCAGCCCTAAGATTTGCCATCGCAACCACAACCTTCATTGTGGCCAGAGTGGCGAAGTAAGTTGACCGAATCGAATTTTGCACTGTATATCCTATCCAACCCTTTTTAGTTGGTCAGCCCGGCCACCAGTCACGTAAGTAAAATATGGAGGGCCACTGTGATTCTTTCTGTTGAGGCCTCCCTCCCCACCAGTATCTGGTGCGTTACGGCATCCAGACAGCATGTGAAACTCAGAAATCAGCGCTGCTTCCAACATGTGAATTAGATTCAAGTCATCACAGGTGTAAATGACCCACATGTTGGTAAAGGATTTGTTCAAGTAGTCCTGAAAACGTACCACCGGGTCAGCAGTGACACCTATCTTGAAGATACATAAAGAGCCACCAAGAAATTCCCTGAACGATCTAATTTGAGCCTTGCAATGGGCCAAGATCTTTCCACAAGTTGGCTTCCGCAATGAAAGCTTCATAGTCTTGTTGTCGATGTTGAGGCTTCGCAATCTATCCCAATCAACTTTCTGTGACTCAGATCGGACAATCTGTTCATTTTTTCCCAGGTCCTCATTTTCCTGGATGTTTTAGATACAAACCAAGAAAACAATACATCAACACCCAGCAAACAAAAAGAAGCGTTTGAGGTTTTCTGGACAGCCCAACATTTAGTGGATCAAAATAAGCTTTACCCCCGGCTAGGAGTGTGGACCACGGAGTGCCTTATGCAAGCAGCTCATGCAATTTGAGGCGCGGTTGAACCTGCATCCCTTCAAATAGCTCTGAAAGGAATGTAGACAGTTGTCATTTGATTGATTTTTTGGGGCATTTCAACCCTAAAGGTCCTGCCAAGCATCTTCTTTGGTAGGTGCTACAAGCGGTCTCTTAACCAATGGGTAGTCATCAAGCCCCGCATTCACAGCGCACCGTTTTTGGCCAGTAAAAGGGCATGTGTAGGTCATGAGATCCATGAAAAAGTCCATGGCTCCAGGATTTTGGCATGCAGGAAATATTGAGGAAGATATTGTAGAACATAAAAGACATTGATTGTATAATGATGATGGTGGAAAATACAAACAAAATGTGTATTAAATATATACCTCATTGAATCTTCCAAGGGTTTTGATGGGTCACGGTTTTTGGTATGAAAAAATCTTGAAGTCTTGTTGCGTGAAAAACACTTAGATCAAATTAGTTATGAGTCACAAGGTGTTCACTACTTAGCTGAGGTGTCAGTTTTATGGAACTTCGTTGGACTGATCTTTTGGGCCCAAAAATGCACAGCAGAAATGAACATGTGCACCCACTGTTTCCCGGGTCTGTGACATCAGCTGTTACACATAGGAAAGCACAATACCCAACTAATTAATTAGTGTAGGACCACACCCAATGCTGCTGACAAGGCGCTCCTTCTTGGCATCTTTGTAAAGAGATTCGAGCTCGTCCTGGTGCCTTGGACATGTGAGGATTTATTTCTTTTGGGGAGGTGGTGAGTGGCAAGGGATATATCGGATAGACTACATCAGGCGTCTTTAGCTGAATGTCAGTGTGCCCAACAACCCAAAACAGCACTTATTTATACTGGGGGTGGGCCAGGTTGGGATTGCCAAAGAAGCCAAGCAACTCACTGGAGAAACTGTCGATGATTCCCTTGGTGTTCACACGGGTGATTTCCGTCTCAACCTTGCATAGGGCAGAATCGATATCAGCAGCTCGCTTGGCCAACCTGAGCTGGCATCGGCGGACAATATAGGCTATCCATGCATATATATCTATACACAGGTTCGACCTAATACTCTATAATAAATATAAACCTATATTGTTTTATTTCATATTTTAAAAATAGTGTATTATTTGAAATTATATGATATTGTAATATATCAAATTATATGCTATATATGATATATGATATTTGATATATTATTTATTACTTAAACATATGATATTGTATATGGTATTAAATCAAATAACATATGATATTATAGCATTTAGAACAGGATGTTATCATGCTATGTTTTTTAAATATATTTGATATTATTTTGTATTATATTATATTTTTTTATTGTAATATATCATACCTTATCATGTTTTAAAATATAATATATTTTATTATATAACTTTTATATCACACTATATTTGTATTGTGTGATAGTCAAAAATCACCGATGACTGAAAACCATATGCACCAATTGTTGTGAGGAACGCTTCAACAGTTTCTGGTGGATCTTCCAAAAGGGACAAAGATGTGATGATACCGTGCATCTTGAGTTTCCATTTTCCGATGGCCCCCAAGATCTTCTGGATATACGAAGATGGCAAGCCATCATCATCCATGAGGGGAAAGCAAATCTGTTTCAAAGCCTTCTTCGTGTCAGCTTCACCATCAGCTTCAACAAGAATTGCCGGGTCTGCAGGGCGAGTGTTAGATTGTTTTGTTGAAATATTTGAACCAACTCTTTCAGAATCGTTTCTGATGGACCACATGTCGATCAAAATATGAGCTTAATTTTGAGGCATGACCCTGATCCCATAGCACCTGTAGTGTCTTCTGGCAGATCAAAATCCCCAGGCATGGCATTATCATCAAACTCCTTCTTGAACTTCCCAGCTTCGTCCTCCGACATGCTGTCATCCTCACAAATGGTTTCCCGCCTTCTTTTCCTTGGCTTGCCAAGAGCCCATGTTGAATTCAGAACGAGTCACATTTACAAGGATCAAGAGGGGGCCCCAGAGTCAAGAGGGTTAGGCAAGGACATGGTATTGTAACATATTGTAGCCCCTCGTGCATCCTAGTGGCAGCTTTCGGCCGCCAACCTTGGTCTCAACCCAGAAGCATTCAACATTCTTCTCATATTTGTCTCTCCTGAGCAGCACCAGGTGAGCTGAGCATATGGGCTTTTTGCTGGAGACGTCGAGATCAAAAATGAGGCATATCGCTATGGGGCGTGAAAGTATTATATGCCAAGTTGCCGGACCCAACCCTTGTGCTTCCTGCACTCCGCTATGATGGCTTGGATGCGGGTCCTGACTTGGAAATTGGGAATGGGGCTTGTGTGGCTTCCATCCCCACACATTCATTGCACAAGTGCGCAAGTGTACAAGCATGTTGAATTGGATTTCATCAATTCACTTGTGTATAGCACATTGTAGAGTGAATGCGTCTATGTTGGTTGCTAGCCCCAAGAAGCAGAACCATATTAAAACCCCGGCCCGCTGAGAGTGCAAACAGGATTCTGTCGGTAGTTGTCATCAATCATATCTTGCTCGGTCATGAACTCTCCATCAGCCCAGAGGTCGTCTTCCTTGATTCGCTCCACCTTCTTGCGACAGGTGTGGATGAAGGAATCCTACGGCGACTGCGGGAGTGGCAACTACTGGAAAATAGGACCGGGTAGCTGTCAGAAGGGTCAAGTGATTCTGAGTACCGCAGCTTTAACATCCATAATGTGATGCGTGTAACATTTATATTTGGTGTCTATGCGGGTGGGTTTGAAAAACATGAAGCCTCACCCCTTCAGTCCTTATTTCCATTGCACTTGTCTTTGTATAAGCGCAAAACCTCTGCCCTGCCACCACCAGCGATATCTTTGAATTTCTCGACAAATTCCATGGGGACTAAGTAGCTTCCATCTTTACGCGGTGTAAACAATCGGCGAAGTACCTTCACATCATTGTCTCCACCGGAAGCCTGGAGCAATCAGAAACGGTTAGGAAAACACATCGTTGCTTCTCGCAAATTACTTGCCAGAGGAATTTAAGACACGCCAAGTTTAACTGCAAACAGGGAACTTTCGGTACAGGGCTGGGAGCCGGTGCAGAGTCACCACCCTGTTGATCTTCAGCCTTGGGCACATCCTTGGATTCAGGCAAGAAAGTAGTCAGGAGATAGGGAAATAATTACAAACCATTGGGTGTTGGATTCACCACAACCATGCGCAGAAGGAATGAGAGCCAGGAAACTCCTGGAGTGGAACGTGCAGGATCATCAGTCCCTTTGAGGGCAGACTCTTCCTGACCATGTCTATACCAGCGCCCAATAAAGAGAACATGCCATGCCCATGGATAAGGGCACATGTCACTCATCAGTCATATATACTCGCTGATCCCGTCCTCTACCAAACCCTTCAAGGCAGCCATGAGGTCCAACTCATACGAGCCATTAACACCAGCCTGTCAAGGCATAGCATGGTATAGCTTTGAGTGAAGCTACTCATGGATGTATGGCACAGAGAGATTCAGCAGATGCAGCACATATACTCTTGGTACTATTCTACTGGCCTTAGTTAGTTTCTGAAACAAGTTGTAGAACTGTAGAAATTATTTGATCCATCCAAGCCTCCAAAGGTTCTTCCACCAACTGCCCCATGTATGGATCCAGCGAAAGCTGCAGGACTTCGAATGAATCCTGAGACTGCGTGGTTTCTGATCAAGTTGCAGGCCAGGGTGGGGGGTTCATAAACCATGACTGACATTGACACACGTTGAAAATGAAGTAGCATGGCCAAGAGTCATCACTGTGAGAATCACCCTTCTGATCCGGGGCATCTGGAAGGGCATACTCTTGGCTTGGAGCGGGAAGCTCCTGAGATCTAATGGGCTGATATATATCGTGCGTATATATGCATGTATAAGTGTGGATGCATACTTGGTAAATCAGGTCATAGGTGTCAAATATTACAAAAACTATGTGCAGTAGACATGTGGCAAGGGGCTAAGTCTGCAGGAACCGTCTCATCCTCCGGCCCCGCTTCACCCAAAGCACGAACTGGTGTCGGCACAGGACGCTGTTCACCTTCTTGGAGCTTCTGCTTCTCCGCCTTCAAGGCTTCACATGGGATGTCTTGGGATGACTGGGGTAGTTCAAATCCCATATCGAAAATAAAGTTTAAAAACCGGCAGGCCAATATCTAAAAGCTAAACCACCCGGCCTCTAAGCGTTGGAGTTCCCTCTCGATATCCGCTTCATTCATAGCATCAAGGTTTGGCTGACTGGACATGTCTTTAACAAGGTCCAGCCCGTCAACCAACGTTTCTGTGCTGAACACCCTAGATTGAAGTGGACAAGGCATGAAGGTCACCTAAATAGGCTGCGGTATTGAGGTAAATATATACACGTTGGACAATGGTGTGTCACAATTGTGGCTTTACCAAACTTCCAGCTAGGAATTCCAGAGTACAAAATAAATTCTGAAATGCTTTACCCCTGAAGTTTCTTTACCGGGCCCCTGAAGACTCTTTGTGGCTATCATGAAAACTCTAAGCGCAAATCCCTGAAGTCTCTTTGCTGGGACCCCTGAAGTCTCTTGGTGGGCACCCCTGAAGTTTTAACTTAAAAGGTCATAAAACCTGTTTGGGCCAACTTCAAAAATCCCAGACCGGGGAAATCCGACCCTAGACCGGGAAAATCCGACCCTAGACCGGGAAAATCCGCCCCTAAAATTTTCATTATTTTTGGTTTGGGGGGTTTGGGGTCCTGAAGTGGTATACCTAATGTTTACTCAGGGCCTGGGTTCATTGATATATACCTTGACTTCTGAGTTTTTAACCCTTTCATTTGGAGATTTGCCCAGAGTTTGAGCAATCATGCCAAACACATACCTAATGTTTACTCAGGGCCTGAGTTCATAGATATACCTTGGCTTCTGAGTTTTTAACCCTTTCATTTGGAGATTTGCCCATGAGTTGGAGAAATCATGCCGAACACTTTGAATTAGTACCAGGTCAATGTTCCACCAAAAGCACTGAAGTGACATAATGATACTTCAGAGGTTTTACGGATTTGTTTTTGATATACAATGGTCCTATAACATTTTCGATTGTTACCTCAAATCATGGGCCACCACAATTTTTTACCCAAAAGCACACTGATTGCTTTGCTGGAGGATTCAATCCGACTCTATCACTCTACCACGCTGCAACTGGGCTGCGTTGCCACCGCAAAGAATTAATTGGGAGTCCAATACAACCCTCCAAATTGGAAACTGTACATGCAGCCACCACTAATCAGATGGCAGTGGGCAAAAGTTCCCTCCAATCTTCGGGTATTTGAAGTTTTTTTGACCCCCGGGCATATCGGATTACAAAACGTAGGTCCGATTCTCTCTCCCAAGCATGGCCCTCTTCATCGTAGACCATGGCTGCAAACTGCTCTTGGAGGGGTGATGAAGAAACCTGCCACAGCTTTGGTATATAGACCCACAAAAGGGAGAAGTGACTTGCTGGGGGTTACAGAATATATCATATATATAATTAATATATATATATATATAGTGGCTTACCGGGGGTTACATAATATATCAAATAATTTAGCTATATCATAATAAATGGCAGTATAATTATGCTAAAATCTGATTCTTTAGTGGGCTGATGTCCAACCCAAAAAGATCCCAAGTAAAATGTTCAAAAGGACATGTTATAATGGTCTTTACGGGCCCTTTGGAATTGCAATTGGGGACGCCTCCAATGGAAAAGTGCGCCCCTGCGCGTCAGCACGAAGGTCTGGCACCATGTGCACCAACTTTGCTGCATACTTGTAAGTATAAGTCCTCAGGGGGGCCCCCATTTCCCCCAAAAAAGTATAATATAGCTTAGGTAAATCATTTCTTATGAGCATATTTGCAAACCGCTATATAAACGTCAAGATTCTGAGAAGCCTTCAAAGAGGAATTGCCTTTGAATTTGGCCTTACCCGATTTGTCAATATAGCGAGTTGTTGTAGGACGAGAAGTGCTCTTCTCTGCATCGGTAAGTGGCCCCTTGTCCAGCTGAGCAATGCGGGGAGTGTTTGCCCACAACCATGTACGTTTCCAGCTGAGGCTGCCATATTTTCTCATCCAAAAAGAAACTTTTCGGATCTTAGTTGGGCAGTGAAACCCTTCACAAAAACACCATAGCAGTATTAGCTAGTATATGCATGGAACCACATATATATATATAAACTATATATACCAACACACAATTTCATTCCCAAAAATTCAAAACCCTAGCAGCGATGAAGCCTTTCGACAGCCAAGGCACCAACTCACCATGCTTCTTCAAAGCATCGAGAAGCCACACCCACCGAGGATGCAAGGCGATGAGGGAGTTACACGGGTTTTCCACCAGGAAAAATCCACCCATTGCCCAAGAGATGAGCATCAAGATGCAGCTTCTTCAGGGGCTAAGAAAGATATATCCCCATGATAGATTCAGAAAAGTCATTCTTCAGTTTTTCATATATGGATATTAGTATTTTTTCAATGATACCAGGAAATAATACAAAACCATAGAGACCCTCGGGAAGCTTGAATGGAAAACACAGGGGCCAATAATGGATATATGATGTCATTATGGTACACCCCGCTATTCAGTTCAAGGGAAATTAAAGAACCTACGTTTCCAGTAATAAACATCTTTGGATGGGGAAAAATTTGCACAGTTCCGGCCTTGATACTAATTTGTTAGATCGTCTAACTGCAACAAAGTCTTCATTCCCTAGTGGGGTAAGAATCCCACGCCCAGTCGATCCGCGATTGACGGGCGTCCATGACGAACACACAATTGCTAAGAAGGTGCAGATGGCTTCCCATTCTGAACATAGCAGTAGGTGAATGGCTAACCTCAGATTGCGGCTGTTGCTTTTGGCAATTGGACAGTTGGAAATCTTAAAACAAATTCAATCATCTGTAGCTGGACCCACTTGACCTTCAATGGATCCTACTTTTTTGGAGGGCCAGTCTGAATGACACTTATTCTAGGGTTTGTGAGATATCTTTTTTTCAAACATGCTTGCAAGCTAGAAGCACTAGGCCAGCATCACTATTCAAATCCATTGGGGACCTCTTTCGCTTCCCCATCCGCTTCCCAAGATGTTCTCCATAAGATATGTCTAGTGCTGCGGATGTGAGTCCGGTAAATTTTCCTATGGCAGCAATTCGCCCCACACCAGCGAAGTACTCCAGCACTTGATATGGGCCAGCATCGCATTTTGGCAGATCAAGCCACCAAACCAAGAGTATCAGGAGCACCACCACCTTGGTTTGAGAATATGGGATATGAAGTGTATATATATATAAGGCCATGTATAACCATTTCTTTGGATTGTATTCCCACATTCAAACTGATGCACACCAAGATTCCTTTGGTGTGCCCACAGCTATGATACGCTTCATCATCAGGTCAAATTGAGCAGGGGTCATTGCTGGATAGGGACCGCTGCCGACGCGTACCGTATAGTGAGTAAAGACCATATAATTTACACATAGAATGTATCTTTGGTTGTTTTCATATGCTGCCTTGATGTGTGTATATATATGTTGTAGAGCCTTTAGAAAGGTAGTGTTTTGTAGTCTTGTGGAAAAGTACAACCATCCATCTTGATTGATATCTATAAAATAAATACTATAGGAACGGAGGAAACAATCAAACGATTTGAGGCTGCAATTCAGTGGCATTTCTCCATCCCAAACCTGTTTTTAGCCAACACTTCTGTAGAGGACACTGCGCGAATCTGTAACATCAGACATGAGTAAAACATGTTTGAAATTCCTCGAGCTAGCAACTTGCAACACAATCAACGAGCCCTGGTCACCTCGAACGGATCGCAGGCCCACTCCAAATTTGGCCAGGTTCAAGGATCCTCGTGGTAATCCATACGGCATAGACCTGGCAGCGGCACCAACAAGGTGGGGGACACAAAGTGGAAGTAACCCAGGATGATGAAAGTAGGAGCCATCAGGTAACATAAGTTGTATACATGTGGAATTTCTCAGAAGTTGAAAACACCAATGATTTCTTTTGTGGATAAATCACCCCTTGGTCAATGCAATCTTCAAACTCAAACAATCGTTTTTTTTTCCACTGCCGGCCGCATGCCAAAGCGCGCATTAATGCGTTGAGAAACGCAATCGTTGCAAATACCCCCACTGGATCTTAACGGAACTTGGATTGTTTGCATGCAGCAATTGTAGCTGCACGGCACCATGGCAAAACGTGGCTGTTGATGTTTGGAAGCAGCACAGTGCTGATTCAACAGCCAGCCCCAAAATGAACTCCCCTACAGGCCCCTTCCAAAAGCAAAACGGCCAATGAACTCCCCATACAGGGTGGTTTTATACTTGTGTTTTTTTGTCACCCTAGCCAGGCTATATAATTTTAAATATATTTTTACAAGTATAGTTGGGTAATGTTGGGTACATGCCAGCGGAGGGACCTGTAAAAACCACAAATCTCATCTCACTCCAAGCTGGGAAATCAATCGTCCCACGTCAGCTCTAAGCAGGTATCCTTCAGGAAGGGCTGGATTTGTTTGAATGCAGCCTCCGTGAACTGCCTCTTTTCCTCCAGCGACTGATCCTGGCCAAAGGCCTTCATGCACCACTCCCACCACTCCACCTGATTTTACATGTTGGAGAACCGCAAGGTAAGTCTAAATGACAGCCAAACAAAATACGCCCAATCAAACACCAGCTTTATATCTTGGATATCCTGACTACCAAAAATTAAGAAAATAAAATAGGTCTATTATTATGGTCTATCCCTTTCCAAACCCAAGGGAAAAAACATACACCACACCACACCGCATTTTTCTTCAAACCTGCCTCCCATTTGTAAGGTGCAAAGCCAACAGCAAGCACGTGCTGACTCACGTGAAAATCGAACGTGTCCCTGATAGCATGCCACCTGTTAGATTCTAGCTTACGTTTGGGGGCGGGTCGACGGGCAAAGGATGGCAGCTTGGGCTCCTTCGGATCCTCAGGCTCCTCATGCTCCTCTGGGGCTGGCTGCTGCTGAGATGGGGCTGTGCTGCTTTCCTCTGTGTCCAAATTGCTGCTGGCACTTGGTTCTCCTTGCTGGTGATCCTGCTCCTGCTCCTCCTCCTCCCACCCAAAGGCAGAATTAATGTCAGTCTTCCCTTCTTGGTTGACAACCTCATACTTGACATTGTCCTGCTCCTTGCGTTTGTTTGCTGTGTCTTCAGTGCTTGCAGCCGATGCAGCGGCGTTTGCTTTTGACTTTGCCTTGCCCGTGGCCTTTCTAACAGCCCTGCTGCGAACCTTCTTCTTGGACGAAGCCTGCTGTGATGCCACTTCTGTCTCCTCTGCCTCAGGTGCAGCATTGCCTTCATCATCTGATGCAACAACCTCCACTGGTGCGGAACCTTTCTTGCACTTTCGTTTCGCTGCTGCTTTTGCCTTGGACTTGGGTGTTGGGGTGTCTTCTGTTTTTTTTCTCTTACCTTTGCCCTCCGGCTTTCCCTTTGCCTTTGCCTTCGCCTTGCTCTTTGCCTTAGCTTTTGGTTTCTGGGCCCATTGGCTTACACGTGTAACTAATGGCACATCGTCCTCGAGTGTCTCGGCAGGGGGGTTGTCATCCTCAATGGTCTCAACTTGGGTTTCCTCAACCTCTAGCACTACCGGGGGTGCAGTGTCACACTTCTTGGTCTTGGCCTTTTTCGACACAGGTTCAAGAACATGCTGACTGTCATCAACTTGCCCAGTATTTTCACTAGGGTGCTGTCGGGGTTCGAGGGTTGCTGTGCCTTGCTCAAGAGACTCATCGTGTGTCACTGTGTGTTCCTCCGCCTGTTCCTGATCATTTTCCACCTCATCTTCATGCGCCCCTCGCTCCTTCCTCTCCAAAGCTGCTTCACCTACTACATCCCTCACATCCTCCTTTGATTCCCCCACCTCTTTCTCATCCTTCACGACATTCTTTCGTTCCTCCACCTCTTTCTCATCCTTCACATCTTCCTTTGGTTCCTCCACCTCCTCATCCTTCACATCCTTCTTTGATTCCCCCACCTCTTTCTCATCCTTCATGACCTTCTTTCGTTCCTCCACCTCTTTCTCATCCTTCATATCCTCCTTTGAATCCTCCACCTCTTTCTCATCCTTCACATCCTGCTGTCGTTCCTCCACCTCCTTCTCATCCTTCACATCCTTCTTTGATTCCTGAACCTCTTGCTTCCCTGAACCTCCTCCCAATGCCTCATCCAAACCCTTTGGGGCTGATGCTTCGGGGTGATGCAAAGGAGTGGCGGAAGTGTCCTGAGTTGCCGCGTTGCCTTGGCCATTGCCAGATGCTGTGTGAAGCTCTTCACCAGGTGTATCAACCAAGCTCACCTGAGGACGACCTCAGCCAGGTACTGCTAAAGCTTACTGACCCTTATGTTTAGGGCACAAAACTCTTGATAAGGGAACATGGAAATAAATCTCAACCACTGTCAGCAAAGTATAACCAAACTTGCATGCCCCGGTTTTTCAAAATGTTTGAAACACAGTGAAGCATCACACAAACAGAAGCATATATACAAAAATATATTCCCAAAACCAGGCCTGTGTTGTCATCGGGTTTGCCAAGGTTAGCATTGCTAAAATCACGTGCCAAAGACCTACACACCGGATCAGGTTGCTCCTCAGGTGGTGCCACCTGACTGCTGACAACTGGAGGGGAACCTTGCTCAAAGCGTTCTGCTGCCAGGGTCGCCTCAAAAGGTTGAGTGTCCACGGTGTCGATGTGGCCAGCTTTGGCTGCACGGCGCTGAGCCAGTTCAAACCTAGGGAGAGGGAAGCTTATAGTACGCAAAATCAGATCTGGGATAAGCGTGGCAACCAATCAACACCTTTAAAATTGTTGACTGGACCACACTCTTTGAAACAGCAAAGTTGTTTACACCATCCATTCAGGTTGAGTAACTTCAAGCGGGCAATTCTTTCATCAAGAGCTGCATTCTGCTTCTTCTCTGGGATAGCTGATGGTGCAGGGCATGTGGTGCTGGGACGAACAGATTCAGGGACACTTTTCACAGGTGAAGGTTCTTGGGGATCTGCAGCAACCTCACCTTTGGGAACCCCCACTGAAACAGCATCCCCACTTTCACTTTGTTGGTCTTTTCTCTGGGTTGCTTCAACTGCTTGTCCTGCAGGTGGATCAACTGCGTTCTTGTTGTCTTCGTCGGTCTTGTCTCCCTGGTTCTCGGCCAAATCCATCACAGCCATGTAGGGGTCCTGCTGGTCTGTGAGTTCCACATCACTGTCGTCATCTGATAACTCTTCCCCTGGCTCAGCCTTCACCTCGAACAAGGCATCAAGATCAAAATTGGGATCATCCTTGTCATCGTCAATCTCTACGCAGGGAATGTTCACTCCCTTCTTCAAACGCCAGTGCTTAAAAAGCTCTGAGTAGAATTCCTCCACCACTGGATCCTTATTGTTGAAATTTTGGGTAACAAAAACTAAAGCCCCAGAACAACACAAAACATACCTTATTGGGCTTTTACATGTGTGACAAGGCTGAACCAGTAAGAATGGAACAAGAGGTGTAATTCCACCCAGATGACAATTCCCCAAATTATATATTAGATGTTGAAAGTTTCACATATCAAAGAAATGTGGTAAATAACGTACCATCCCAAGTTTCCCGTCGCTTAGGGCTCTTCTTCCCGTTCTTCCAGAAACCGGCTTTGCGACCCGCATATGAGAAAAGCTTTTTCAGCCCCCACGAATCTACTTGTAGCAATGCCGGGTTCAAGGGAAACTTTGCTGCAGACTTCAATTGGAACACCTGGCAGGGATGATGATAAACAAACACATATTAGAGGACTGATGGTTCTCAGCTTGACATGTGAACTTCTTACCTACTTGAAGCAACAGGACCTTCCACAACTGTTTTAAGCCCAATTCATACCCCAAATCCCGGAACACTTGGAACCAAGAATGATGCAATAGGGAAGTCAAAGGCTGTAGCAAATTTGAATGGTCATATTAACCCCCAAAGAACAACTTAAGAATTATCTTGTGCTTTGTATATATTGATGGTAATTGGATTTTGTTCGAACCTGGCCTCCTTTCTCACAAGCTCAATGTCAGGTCCTTCAATGACATTCTTTTTGAGTTTGGCTTGTGGGCACCAATACTTAGCCAACAAGGTGAGTGCCTTCACGTTGTGGGCAACGGAAACCATAGTAATGCTTCCCACTAGCACCTGCCCATCTTTGCCCTTTGGCCACCGAAGAAGCCTCCCCTCCTCCTTGAACCGCAGGCGAGCTCTGATGTAGTCAGACGAATCCAAGATCCCAGCAAGTGACTTGGGATCGAGTACCACGTCATCTTTCTCATCATCATAGGAATGGGGAGGCATGGCTAGAGGCACAGAATGAAAGAAGATGTCAATCAATTTGTTGTTATCATCAAGGATGGTTCCACATACAGTTTGTTGGTTTCATAGGGAATCACAACTGCGTAAAGGGTGACAGCTTTCGGTTTTCATAAGATGTTCGATGCACTGATATACGCACATGGAGAGTTATGGCTGCGGCCATACCAAGGTTCTGAAAGTATTCTCAACATTTGTTTTTAGATCCAGGGTGTCCGATGTACCCATGAATTCCGAAAGGGTCAGCCATGACCACAACTGAGATGATGAGTTTGTAGTGTGCGTAGAATCAAATGATGAGCTAGAATGAAACAAGGAGATGCCAGAGTGAAACATCTGGCCCTTAATCTCCCCTGGAGGGCCGCAAACATGGAAGGGTGGCCTGAGTCAAAGAGGAGAAGTTTGCTGCCGCACGGCTCATCTCACCTCCAAACAAGAATGGTAGCTATGGAAGTGGTGGAGGAAAAAGAGGGGATCCATGGTCACCAGCACTTTTCGATATTTTTTGCATGTGTGGTTCCAAAACATCATGCAGTTGGACCCCGCAACCTGTCCCGACCACTCCACCTAATCCACTGTTTGCAGAGGGCCCGGCCGCAGCAGACACCAAATGGCGTGGCAGTTGACATGAAAAAATGGAGAGCAGGAACCACTGTTTATGCTTTCAGTTTGCTCCTTACTAGTTGAAATTGGGCAAGATCACTATAGATGTATCCCAATGGAAGCCATGTGGAAAGCCCCTAATTTTGTGTGACTTCTGTTGCTTCATGTTCACCCATGTTGATTGATCCACTCTTCAGCGCAGCGCAGGTGTGGGCCTGAGTGGGAAGTGGTAAATCCTTGGGAGTCATATTTATAATGAAGCTAGAAACCATGAAAATAGAAGAAACGACCCTGGCATCAGAATCCGGCCACAATCTGAAAGTCATGATATTCCATTAGGGTCAGAAATTATACATCACCTGGAGGTTCCAGGTATATATATATAACATGTTATAACTGGTTTATCGGCAATAAACTCTGGGAGATATTCCTTCAAATTTGCGAATTTGACATATGGATCAATGAAAATACATGAAAATACAATGATACGGGGGTTGAGCCTTTCAATCTTCGGTTTCAGCTTTTTCCAGATGAGGTGAACAAAAATTCCAACCTGACTTCCCTGATCTTCCCTGAGGTAAACATCGCTGGTGAAAAAAAACATGGTGTCCATCAAAGCCACACCTGCCGCCACGACCGCGGCCATCCTGGACGCGATGGATGCAGTTCGCTGGATCAGAACCCCATATACTGTAGCATAGTAGATCTTAGGAGATTGGCAACCACTGGACCTCTAGAATTCACAACATTTTATGTCAGAAGCTAAATCTTGCGATTTATCTTACAGTACCTATCATTCGCTGAGTTTTTGACGAACATATATCATTCGCAGCTACATATGACTGGTCTGGAGCTCGAGTGAGATATCCTACCCTCTGGTAATTTAACGTAGCGGGGATGATGTAGCTATAGAAACTTGTTCATTTCTAGGTGATTTACTTCTACATTGATGGGTTTTCCATAGCGATGTTTGATGACCAGAAGGTAGCTTTCTCTCCCAAATCAGCTGAGTTGTTGCTCTGGGGCCTTCGATTCTGTGGCTTTAGTTCCGCTTCCCAAACCAGATCACAGTGAAACAGAGTGAAACTCTAAGCGCAAAGCCCATCTATCTAAAATCTGGTTATTTAACATAGCCATGGAAAATCACCATTTTTAATAGGTAAACCATCTATAAATGGGCCATTTTCCATGGCTATGTTAAATAACCAGAGGTAATCTACCATCTGTATCCCACACTTATTGGTATGCTGAGTTATTTTTTCCAGCCTATTCCAAGACATGCATAAACTTGAATGCGATCAGCCCAAATACGAAATTGAACATCACTCAAGTTTCCAAACCTCTAAACCACTTCGGGCTCTATGGTTCACGATTTTGACTAATTTTGACCTTTTTCTTCCCAAATAATTCCGTCCTCAATTAAAGTCTACTCACATATCCGCCAAAAACAGGTTTGGTATGGGATCTATTCATTTTGGGACCTATGGAGGAATCTAACTAGCCATCAAGGCGTTGAGGGTGATTCAGTGATTTGTGCCTATCGCTCAGCTCCTCCAATATCAGATATCATCACTATATTTATGGCTAGTCACATTTTTTCCTAGATCATCGGAAATGGCCTTAAAATTGCTATCAATATTGAGGTAATGCCAAATTTCCATAGATTTCCTGCATATCTGCATCAGTTCATATCAGTTAACATGAGTTACTGTATGTTTCTGTAATTCTCCAACATTGGTTCAGTCAGTTGGGAGTGCCATCTAAGTTCCAATCTTTTCATCCCATGGACCCAAGTCCGCCATTTTGTCGCATTCATCGATGACCAATGGGGTCTGGGATATATATCATTGACGGGACCGTAGTATAAACCATTAAGATCATTAAGTCTATATATATATAATATGATTATATATGTGAATTCACGTGTATCATGCTATTTCAATGTGAATTCACATGTATCATCCTATTCATTGATGATTATTACCCTCTGGTAATTTAACATAGCTATTGAAAATGATCATAGAAATAGTTGATTTACCTACTAATAGCATGGTGATTTTCTATAGCTGTTTCTTCACGTTTACCATTTCGGGTAGACATCATCCGTTTTCCTCATGAACAATGGCCTTATTACCCATAGGATCCATGGTATATAACGGTATATATGGTAACATGGATCCCATCAATATACCCCATTTATGTTAGCATTTTTCTACCAGCACCATGGATCCGTCATGGGTTATGGCTGGTTATGATACTCCTCCCGGCGGCGGGCCTCAGGAGACTCCGGCGGAGGCGTCACGACCGAACCGGGCGGATCTGTCGCGAACTCCGACGACTCGGTCGCATCTGGCAAGACCTGGATGACTCGTCGGAAAATCATGGATGTACCCGGCCTGGTAAACCTGGAAAGAGCTTGCGAACTTGAAAATGGCGTCGAAATGTCGTTGATATTCCATGATTTTCCCATGAAAATAGCATGGTGGATCTTTCCATAGTTTTTTGTCAACGTTTACCAGAGGGTAAGCACCAGAATATTTCGATTTCGAACTGAATTGGGGATCAGAAGATCTGCAAATTTGCAACTGGCCAGTCCAAACATGAGTAAAATGCCCTCGGTCAAGTACGACATTCTGTGTTTATGATATCATACATATCTTGTGGTAATAAAGTCCCTATTTATGCTCATAAAATCCCAAGCAATATTTGTGTGTTTAAAGTGTCATGCAGCTTTTTATCAACTGCATCAGCCTTTGGTAAGCTAGCATGGCTATGGAAAATCCCCATTTTTTATGGATAAATCAACTATTTCTATGGCTTGTTGGTGGTTTCAACCCCTCTGAAAAATATGAAAGTCAGTTGGGATTATTGTTCCCATATATTATGGAAAATAAAATTCATGTTCCAAACCACCAACCAGATGGCCATGTTCAATAGCTATGTAACAAATTACCGGCCAAAAACACGGCCAAAAAGTCGAAAAAATCTGAGGCTCCAACAGGTGCAACACCGCGCGGAGACTGAGGAAAAACCATCGGGGGAATGGATATCAAACTTTACCAATGGCTACAAGCTGGTTGAAATCCCGCCAGTCCCAGTGATAAGTTGGTTTATAAACCCCATAATTTTTTTCGGAGATATCTGCTATAAATATCCATACCCTCTGGTAAACATGAACAAAAAAGTATGGAAAATCACCATGCTATTAATTGGTAAATCAGCTATAAATGGACCATGTTCATCCATTTTCCATAGCAAACTGTTAGTCATAACCAGAGGGTACTAGTAATATCCTGAGGAAATGATCAAGGGGAATGGATTCATGAAAGGTGAGGATGATCCAATCCAATCCCGCTAAAACATGGATGACCCCCCTGGGTTCCTGGGGTCCATGAAAAAAAACAAGGGTTTCGTTTGGGGGGTAGTTGATATTTCAACGATAAATTAACCCACCATTTTAGGGAAATACAAGGGGATATGATCTAACGGTTTTTTTCCCAGGGCTTGGAAGCAACTTGAACCTTTGGACTTGGGTCTGAAACCTCAGCACCAAATGATCCCAGAGTTGGAAACCAGATTTTTTTTGGCCTCTGGCAATCTCAGCCCTAGAAAATGTGGCCTAAGATGCTACAGGTCTTGAAATTCCCACTGAATTGCTATGCACAAATGGCACAAACCCAGCATGGCGGGTAAGAAACGATACAGCAAGCACACTCACAAGAAAAATGGTGAATACTTGGTGGAAAACTTGGATACCATATGATACCATCTGATAGTCCAAAGTGGCAAAGGAATATCGTTCTACCGTAGCTGTTGGTTAAAATTGGATTTCCTACTGCCAGGTTGGATTTCTAAAGGGTAATTTGGAAAAAAAAACTACGAAGGTGATCAACGGCCCAATATTTGGTGAGATCGGTCACACAGTCACCACAGATTGCATAGAATGCTAGCTAGAATGGGGATTGCAGGCTCAGAAACTTCAACTGTAACCGGTTCACACTGGTAGTTGAGTCACCCCCAACCCCAGGGGTACGATTTATTCACAGAGCTCGGATTCAACAGCACTGCAAAAGGATATCCCCCAAGCCGGTGATCCTCATCCCCCAGGGATTGCAGAATTGCCTCAGTGACACCCTTCTGCACCAAAAAGGGCTTTGATTCTTGGGATAGAAATCCCTATGTTTTAACAAAGAAAAATGCCTACATAGCTTCTGGTGATACTGAATATTTGATAGAGTATCGTTTATTCTTCATTTTGTAGGCTCAAGAATTGTCCTCCTTTTAACCAAATCAAAAATACAAAAATTGATCAAGTAAGTCTGCACATTTCAGTTTCAGAAGATCGAGCTGCACTTTTTCGCACCACGATGGGATGAATGTCAACATCTTCACTACATTACCCATCGGCAAACCGCAAAGGGGACACCCAAAGTTACCCATATTTAGTTTTTTGTTGGTGATAGTGATATTCCCGGTTTTGATTGGTTACCAAGGTAATTAACATGTGTTGGTTGTAGACAGTGCCCCCTCTTTATTGGTTAATTATGCACACTGCATTTTTTGGGCCGTCTACCCCATCATCTACCCATAGCACCCATCTGAAGAAACGATAGAACGGTAAAGACAACTAGCCACAGGCGTTTAAATAAACATTTACCATACATTTCCTAGACCCTCCGGTAATCTTTTACGCGTGGCAATCGAAAATCCCAGAACTAAATGGATGATTTTCCAAGAAAAATGTTTGATTTCTGGAGGGTAAACCTCTGGTGATTTCTTAGCTTTGGAAAATCATCGATGAAAAGTGGGTAAATCATCAATTTCCATGGTAATTTATGACATGTAATGTTAAATCCATGGTACTTTATGACATTTTATGAAATGTTATGTTAAATCATCGTCTTTTGAATGGGTAAAACATGTAAAAACTCTACAAATGGCCACAAGACCAACAGTTCTCTAGGTCTTCGGACGCTCAACTCCTTTAAGGTGTCTCCAGGAGCGGCTCTCTTGGAAGCCTGGCGACGATTCCGATGGAGATTTCGACCGCCAACATCTGGGCGATTTGACCGCCAAAAACGGGGGGCTGTAGTTGATTTATACCACTAAAAATGAGGGATTGATGATTGATGACCAACCAAACAACACGCGGATTTGATTAATAGTTGACTTGCGTTCCCATCAAGTGTGAAAATTCAGCGGAGACTCATGCCCCTGGATGAAGGCAACTAATAGAAAGAGAACGTGCATGCGAAATCATGTCAGGAAAAACATAAAACCAGCATGAATCCGTCTGTTTGTAGAAGACTATGCAGATCTTTTTGCAGAATATGCGTATGGTGATTTCGAGAAAATGCAGCTGCCATTTCAGTGATAGTGGTTCATAATAATTCTAATTTGCACCTGTTCTTTCCGCCTGCGTTATTATTGCCAAGCAAAGTTGATAACCAACCCACTTAAACGGCCACCCACTCACCCTTCAGCATGTGGGGGGGTCACAACCATTGTCAAAAGCTATACAATGTTATACCCGTTTATGTATAAATTTAAGTTCAACGGCACCCCAAAGTAAAATTATGTTTGATCCCCAACGTGTTTTTTCAGAACAAGATACCTTAGAGATCCCATTCAATCACGATTCCGTAAGCATTAAATACCCATTCAATAGCAGTCAAATGGTTGGGTAGTTTCAATCCAACCCAGCCTCCATTGGTCGGTCTCTCAGATATTTTTCCTCCTGAATCCTTGGCGCTTGCGAAGATTGCAGAGAGCAGCGTCCGGCAAGCCCCCCAAAACAGTGGCTTTTCTGTGGACTAATGTGGATTTATGGTAGTACAATCCACCAGAAATTTGAAAACACTCCTTTTCATGTGGATTTATGGTAGTATAATATATATATATAAGGACATATGGAACTAGAACCCTTAGTTCTTTATCTTCTAGAAATATGGAAAAGAATGGTGGACGCATGCCACTTACTAGCTTTTTTTTGTTAATGGACCTTTCATAGCTGAAGTGAGTTTCCCCAATATACCTTAAGGGTATCAATTGTTGGGTCGTATAGCACAACTGACCAACGCTAAATTGGAACTGCTCGCATGACAATGCACCATCGCCTGGTGACTGTTGTGACCCATCGACATGTTGATACTTTCTGGCTGTCCCAAAAATGACACAGGTACAGCAAGTGGAAATCCCTTTCACAAAATCAGAAGGTTCCTGGTTGCATGCCACGTTCTCTTGTGTTGTCTTACTACTTTCATGGTACCCTCTGGTAATTTAACATAGCTATGGAAAATCACCAGCCAGCTTTAATAGGTAAATCAACTATAAATGGGCCATTTTCCATAGCTATGTTAAATTACCAGAGGGAAATTTGACCTTGTTTCTCATGTTTCTCTGGAGAAAACCATATACAGGTGTACATGTACATCGCAAGATGCTGCAACGAAGATTGGCATCACACTGTATCAGTCTTGAGTCAGCAGAAAAAAAGTGGCTCTCGCAAGAAACATGGTGAGAAAAATATCCAAGAATATCCATGGCATATATACTAGTTGGTGGTTTTAACCATCTTGAAAAAATATTGGTCAATGGGAAGGATTATCCCATTATGGAAAATAAAGAATGTTTGAAACCACCAACCAGTATAACATTGACCCTCAAAAATATGGAATTGTAAATTAATGGAAAGCACTCCCAAAATGGTGGGGAACAACTTTTCTATCCTTCTTGGGACCTCTATGCATACATATACATGCATGTAAGTAGCTACCCAGGTACCTATGCAATATGTCTATGTAATAATTATGTATATATATATTATTATATATATATATACATATTAAATATATTATGTATTTCTGATGTATAATGTATATTATGATTCACATTGATTTGCACAGATGGTAACTTGGTCCCCTCTGGGCTCCCGCTGCCCTTTGCTTTCGATTTCTTCGATCGGTTCCGGAGGCGGTGGAGGAGGCGTTTCCACCCGGTCGTCCATGGCGTTGAAACAGCGGAAATCACGGGTGAGAATGGCACTATCACTGATATCATGTGGAAAAAATGAGGTGTGGAATGGTGTGGACCATTCTGGACCTGTGTTTCCAAGAGGAACATCAACAAGATAAATGCATAATCAAGCTGCAACGATGTTGCTATAAAATGGTGTTCCATGAAAAACAAGGTGTCGGTGTCAGCAACAAACATCTCCGTGTTTACGTCTGAAGTGGGATGAACAGGTCTTGATTCTGGTCGAAAAACGGGCGGGTAAGGACAGTTTTCAAACACACATTGAACGAACCAAGGTATTCGGATGGATATCGAGTTCGCAAACCAAATCGCGGATTCAATGAACCAACATGGGGATTTCTTCAATCCAAAAGGGATTCAAAAACGACCATGCCAACAAATAGGATAGCCGTCATGGTCAATCTCCAACATTGCTGATCCGCCATGCCTCCATGAATTGGGATGGTGCCGCAACGTAACATCTGACGTCCCGCACTCAGCAAGCTTGGCGCGGGCCGCCAGCACATCTGCGGACACTTCCGGCATTTCCGACACGCCAAGAGCGGCCCCTACTCCAAAGGCTCTGGCTGCTTCGGAGCTGAAAAGACGAAGCACAGGCAGGTCGTCCACTTTGTGGCTATCATGTACCACGGCCCATACGAGGTTAGAATATGTTATAACAGCCCTGAAAACAATCTTTGGAAATAAAGGTATTGCATCCTCTGAACTTGGGTGTCAATCCGGAGAAAACAGGTTTTCTATGGTTTTCTGGTGTTTTTCCTTTGCAACCCAAGCAGTTGAATCATGCAATAGCTGCAATAGACACGTTCATCTCAGATCCCTTATTTAACAGGATGGAAATTAAAACATGTTTGAAACCACAAACCAGACATGTTTACAAGTATCAGTATTGTCTTTTTACTTACCAAAAGTGGTGCGGGTACACCAGTCCGGAAGGTAAACATCCACAAGCAATCTTGGTGGTCTTCTATTTTCATCTTCTGAGTCTTGGAGCCCAATAATGATTGAATCGAAGAAAAGGTGTCTCCGTTAAGACATGTGGAGACCCCATTTGAAGTGATACTGTAAACCCGATAATAAACCACTATTTGGGGGTAATATTACATTATCATGACCAGCCCCTAAAGGGTCCCCACCGTAGTATTCCCACTTCAATTCATAAAAAAAATATTAGGGTTCATATAAGGGGGAGAAGTTGTGCAATGGCATTTGGTAGGTACAAAGCGGAATGCATAGGGTGCGCAACTACACAATGCAGTGCATGTTACTTTTTTTGCAACTACAAAATGAAGAACATAACTCTTTCTGGCTCGGAAAATAATTCAAAATCAGCACTACAAAATCCAATGCATCTGAAGTTAAAAAATAGCTGAAAATCGGAATTGCTAACATGATTTTTCCCAATGACATTTTGTAGTTGGGTCTATGCCATCCAAAGTTCCGACCAACATAAATTCTGAGAACATAGTTGTCAATGATTGAATTTAGTTGGGTCAAGTGTTGACCCCGTGCAGTTTGTTAGATGGCATTCTGTAGCTTCATGATCTGTTACCTTGTTAGATGGCATTCTGTAGATTTTATGTTGGATACTTCAACTAACTCAACATATACAACTACAAAATGAAAATGATGATTTGAAAGGAATCAACTACAAAATGAATGCAAATACAAAAAGGGGGGCCCAACCCCTCCTGTTTGTACAAAAAAATCCTGGCTGGCAAACTGTACTGTAGCCCAAGTCCTCCCCATGTCGTAGCTGAAATTTGGAGGATAAAAAAACAATAATCCAAGCATCTAAACTATGTCGAGCGCACCTACAGGGGTATATCCAATAATGAACCCCAATGGAAGGAATCTTGCTGGACCGACTGCCCATGTTCCATTCCAACATATTCCGAATCTCTTTGGAAACTTTGAGTGTTCCCATCTTTTGTACCCAACTCTAACTGCAGAAGGCGATATCTGCTATCCATGAACTGATCATGGTATTGGAATTCAGCTCAACTTGTTCTGCTGCAAACCACTGGCAAAAACACGTAGCAAAATCCCAAGAAAGCACATGCTGCAGATCCCCTGATCTCTGATTAATCAGTTGCGTGGGACCACAAAATTTCAACTCCCCCCTTGTTTTGCGAATTTCATTGAACTCATTTAGCAGAAACGCAGCACACATTGTGGCACTGCGCGCGTTCTCCCAATTCAATCGACAAATTCCTGTCCTGCCAATTTCTCGGTGGAACCACATCAGGGTGCAGACAGAAATTTAAAATCAACTGCATGATGGGGATATCAAGCAACTGCATGTAGTGTCCCTACGATTTCAACATGTTTGTAGAATATAATATGATATTGTATATACTGTATACATATATATATATATACATTCACAAATACATGGACATACGTAGACATGTATATATATATATACATGGAACAAATGCACAAATACAGTAAATATGTTTAAACACTAACATCTATAATGAATGAACATACATATATATATATATGTATACATACATATATATACATACATGCAACAAGATATGTATATACAGCATTATCATCATATATAATAATATATCTTAATATTGTACACTGTGGCGAACCCCACAGTCATCTGAAATTATCATGCCAAAAAGGATGGAAAACTAAAAGTGAAACCGCCAACCAGTTTTCCATTGATTTTTTTCCATGAACAAATGCCGGTATCACGTGGTACATGGGTACCCGACTAATTATGGGTTACCATGATCCCCAAGAAACTTCAATCAGCCAGTTTCACTGTTAAATTTCGATCAACCAGTTTCACTGTTAATGTCAACCCCGGATTAATAAACCATGGTTTATTAATTAGGGGGTACGCCTCCAATAGTCATAGTCTGATACTTAAATGGTACCCTCCCAATTAAACAGCCTAGAGGTTTATTAATCCAGGGTTGACATTAACCTCACTTGACTTCCAACAGATTCACCAATCAACCGTTAGGTCAAACTTTCATCGTTCAATTGTCCAACCTTGCTGTAGTAGCTGGAAGATCGCAGAGGTATCCTGGGGCGTCATCGACATGGCCGCTGGGAAATGCCCGAACTAGCCATGATGCTAGTCTGTACAGGAAAATCATAGGAAAACCATGGGAAAATATGGGACATCCCCGAACTAAATGGAGGTTTAGTTCGCTAGAAGAACATCGCAGTATATAAATTGATATCTAAATGGAAGATTTTCCAGCAAACCATGGTTGATTACCGGAGGCTAGAGGGAAATTCAGAAAGGAGACCCTAAAGGTGAATATTTTCATGGTTGTTCCCTTGTTGGTCATACTGCAAAACCCCCAGTTTCCAAAGTCCGCAAAAAACTGAGATGGCATGGCAATGTGGAGGAGTTTCACCAGGTGAAAGGAGTCAGTATTGATTTTTCAAATTGAGGATTCTCCAATACTCGCATATCTGGTTGGTGGTATACCTACCCCTCTGAAAAATATATTCGTTCGTCAGTTGGGATGAAATTCCCAACTGAATGGAAAGTCATAAAATTCCATGGTTCCAAACCACCAATCAGCTAGCATATCTTGTTGATGACCGATGGCCTTATCAGGCCCGACTCAACTCGACTGGGCCCTTCTCATCTTCCAAGCCTTCACTTCTGGCTGACGCCATTGTCCCAGGAGCTTTCGAAATTTCCTGCGGCGAGCTTTCGCAACACATTTCTGCGCCGAATTGACCGTTGTTTTTTGTAAACCACCGAAAAAGGGCCGGCATCATTTCCTGCAAAACGAGTTCATTGGATATAATTTGGGTCTGTCTAAAAAATGGGGCATGCCAATGGCCATTTAGTAGAGAAAATCCGCCGACCCCTGCCTTCGCCAAGGCAGGGGCGGCGCCTGGGACCATCGGAGGTGTGGAATGTTTTTGTCGGCTTGCCATTAGCTTGCTGTTGCTTGCCAACAAGAGCAATTGCTTCTTATTGGCGTTCAAGCCTGCTGTTGCCAGCCTTTAAACCTTTCAAAAGCCTTTTGGCACGCCCAACGCCGCAGGTACAAGGCACCCAAGGCCAGATCAATGGCTTCTCATGGGCGTTCAAGCCTGCCGTTTGCCAGCCTTTCAACGCTTAAACCGCTGAAAAATCCTCTTGGCACGCCCAACCCCGCAGGCACAAGCCACCCCAAGGCCACATCAATCGCTTCTTATGGGCGTTCAAGCCTGCCGTCTGCCAGGCCTTAAACCCTTAAAACGCGTACAACGCTTAAATATCTTCTTGGCACGCCCAACCCCGCACGCAACACGCACCCCAAGGCCAGATCAATGGCTTGCCAGCCTTTCAACGCTTCAAACGCTTAAAAATCCTCTTGGCACGCCCAGCCCCGCAGGCACATCCATGATCATGAGATCCCGCATTGTAGTCATGATGATATCATGCTAAACCTTGTGAGCAGAGAATCAAGCCACTGTCGGGAAAAATGAGCGTCTCCAAGCTACCCAGCAATCAAGTGCTGTAGAGGTTTGTCGGGCGATACCCCAATCATCTGTTGGCTTTGTAAAAGTGGCCATTGGTGGCTATTCCCCATTTTCAGACACATCCCTATCATATCCATTAATATATCCCATGATTTATATCTTCATTAATATCTGATCTGGTTGGTGGTTTCAACCCTCAGAAAAATATTAGTCAGTCGGGATGATATCTATCTATCTATCTATCTATCTATCTATCTATCTATCTATCTATCTTATCTTATCTTATCTTATCTTATCTATCTTATCTATCTATCTATCTATCCATCCCTCCCTTCCTTCCTCCATCCATCCATCCATCCATCTATCTAATCTATCAATCTATCAATCTATCTATCAATCTATCAATCAATCTATCAATCTATCAATCTATCAATCTATCTATCTATCTATCTAACTATCTATCTATCTATCTATCTACCTATTTATCTATCTATCTAATCTATCTATCTGTCTAATCCAATCTAATCTTATCTGATCTTATCTTATCTATCTACACATACATAATATGCATTAAACCTTATTTTTGTATTCTGTCGCCATGCTCCTTTCCTTCCACTGCCAAGGCCCCCATAAATGGGGTGGGTCGGCGGCACCAGGGCGGTAGCCCTACTTATATGGGGAGATGATGATTAACCACGGGATTTGGGGGGTACTGTATTTCAGACAAGCCCATTTCATCCTGTACGATGTTATGTTTGAAATTGCCGCAGCTTCGGGGGGTGCTTTGTCCAGCAGTGGCTGCCAGCCATTCGCGCCTCCTTTTCATTGTGTCGTTCTTGAGCTGATTGAGAAGTTCTCGTGCCTCTCATGTCTGACAAGCCATGGCGGGTTGCGGAATGTGGTTGCTTCACGTCACTACACCACCTGTCAACAAGTTACTGTCATGTGATTGGTAGTGTTGGATGTGTTCATTTGGTTCCTATGCAATATATACACAGGTCCTTTTGTTGAACTGCCAAGACGTTTCCTCCCGTAATGAATCACAACATGGAGGGTCAGAGCCAACCAATTCTTAAGGATGAAGTGGTATTGACAGCAGAAAGGAGTCAGTCTTTCCCCAGTCACTAAGATCAATCAAAGGGGGCCGGATATTGTTGAACCAACCTTTGCGGCCTTTGCGATCCTTTGCGTGTCTAAAAGTGCATATGTGTATGCGTGTGCATGTATTTGTGTGTTTGCGGGGGCCGGGGTATGTTCGTGTGAGCGTCCAAAAATGTACAGTAAGTATCTTTCTTGTTTACACACATTACTACGGATGTGGCTGAACCCACAGCCTCCAGTGTTTGTTGGGACAAAGACAAAGAAACAACTTTTCCACAAAATGGATACCCTCTGGTAAACTAACAGGTCGCGCCGCCCTTGGGCAACTGGTGTTTTTTTGGCGCCTTTTGTTCTTTGCGCCTTGTGCTCTTTTGGTCTTGCGCCATTATCAGCGAGCGTTGCAAGCTTTGGCCATTTGTTTGAGAAAGTGCATGGAACATTCCCCGACAAGTTAATTTAAGTTGTCTAAACATAAGTACATGTGTATATTATATATAAATAAACATTTGATATATATATATATATATTTATGTGTGTGTGTATATGTATATATGCATGTGACACACACACACATATATATATGATTATATATATATATATGTGTGTGCGTGCCGGTAGGTGAGAACTATAATTAAGGTCAAAAAATATAAACAAGAATATATGTACATGTGTATGTATATAAAAGTGAAAATAGATGCATATGTATGCACATGTGTATATACATATATGTGTATCTAAATGTGATTTTCATTGTGTAATATTGTATATATAGATATAACCCAGGCAACCCCGAAGTTCACGGAGCATACATGACGTGAGCAAGTTCACAGGGACGTTATCCCCCCCACCCCACCCAAACCCCGAAGTTCACGAAGCATACCTGACGTGAGCAAGTTCACAGGGACGTTAACATCCCCCCCACCCCACCCAAACCCCGAAGTTCACGAAGCATACCTGACGTGAGCAAGTTCACAGGGACGTTAACATCCCCCCCACCCCACCCAAACCCCGAAGTTCACGAAGCATACCTGACGTGAGCAAGTTCACAGGGACGTTAACATCCCCCTCACCCCACGCAAACCCCGAAGTTCACGAAGCATACCTGACGTGAGCAAGTTCACAGGGACGTTAACATCCCCCCCATCCCACCCCAAGTTCTTAAAAAAAAGGTTTCGTTACCAGTTGCCTGGGGGCGGCGTTGGGAACTAACAGTTCGCTGTTGAACATGGTGATAGAAATAGTTGATTTTAGATGATTTTAGTGCAAACTCGACCGAAGATCACCAGCTGTCAGCTGTCATGACTTCAACATTAATGGCTTTGTCAAAAAAAATGCTGCTGAATCTACTGGTTTATCATGGTTTACCCGAAATGGTAAACGTTTACATAACGAACTGGCAAGATCCACCATGCTATTAATGGCTAAATCAACTATTTCTATGGCCATGTTCAATAGTTATATATAATAATTTACCAGAGGGTATCATGGTTAATCTACTGGTTTGTCATCATTTTCCCATTAGACATGCGAAATGCCGGAGCCCCATCCGCCATTGTGGTCTCGGGTGCCTGCACCTTTGGCAGCACTTCTCGAACTCCCTCCGATGGCTGCGTGATCCGTTGATCCCCAGTGGGTCTCATGAAACAAGTGGCTGTCTGAGTTGTAAAGAGCCCCAAAAATGGATGCTTTGATGTGGTTTGATGTGGTTTGAATACCCAAGAAACAGTGGCTGCATTCGTGCATAGTCGTTTCACCTGTGCCGACCCACATGGTTTCGGCGTGTTTATTAAACACCAGTCCCATTGCAGAACTTTGTCCTTGCTGGGCGGGGTCTGCTCGACTTGTTGTTGGAACACCTTCGCTTCCTGCGATGACAAGCGCAACAAGTATACGGTACGTTTTAGCCCCAAGAGAAAGGAACCAGCTGTTGACAACAGGCTCATGCAGTCGCTCCGGATCCACTGTGGCCAATACTTGAGATACCTTGAGATAATGGGAACCCAATGATACCGCCCCTTTGGGGTACGGTTTTTTGGGTGGCCGATGATAGCTGGCAAATTGAAAAATTGGTCTAACAATGTCAAACAGATTGTGGTTTGCTAAAAGATGCTAAAAGGTTTATGGTTTAGAATCAGATTGACTATAAATGACTATAATATATAATAAATTTTGAGAGACATGGACAGACACAGACCACAGGTCGAGCCCAGCACAGTGGCACCCAAGTCGCCAGCCTTCTGAAGCCGGATGAAGCCCTAGCAATGCAGAAATGTCACGCTTCGAAGTTGCAAGCAGCGTTTCTGTGACAGGGAAAAGGCTAACATGCATGAGGATCGAAATTGAAAACTCAGAGGCCTGATGTTGGTCCAAGTTGTTCTTTTTTATCCTGGTAAACTGGTTTTTACCATCTCACGTTGAGACAATGAAGTTTGACCTGTATCCAGCTTCGACGACTAGTCGACCTCCTTCCGGGCCCATTCAGCGATGGCACCTGTAGCAATTCATCGAGCCTGCCATCGCCATCCTGGTGAAATCGAGGGGAGCGAAAATCAACACGTCCACCGTCATTTTGCTGGACCTTGAATGGTTTAATTAAATGTGGTAGAAATTGATGTTTATTGGGGGGTTTAAACATCATGTTTATTGCTGGTTTATTGGTTTTTTTTACATGTTGCATTTATATGTTGTGTTTTGAAGATACCCCAATAAACATCAATAAACATTCATCAATACACAATTGTTCATCAACATTCATCAATGACCTTTTGCTTTTGACTGTTTGATCCCCCAATAAACATATAAGTAAACCACCATCAGCCAGTGGTTTGAAAAACACCGAAATTTCCAGGGATTCCCAGGGTTGCGTTGGCTGTTTGCTTGGGAAATGCTCACATGGCGTTGTCGAAAAAATAGGTTCCTATACTTCAAAATTGCCATGTGATACTCAGAGACCGTTTTATGATTTTGAATATTTTGATGAAAAACCTGAGTTGGCAAATCGGGGGGCTATCATAACACCCACCTAGGGCTGAAGTCTTCCGCTGTGATGCATGGTTTCTGTATCTTTACAAAACCCCATTCATTCGCAAGACTTATGCCCATTCAGCATCTTTCAGCAAATCCAAACGTGCGGAATTCGGGATCACCATGTTCTTTACATATTCTTTTGAAACCTGAAGGATCGCAGCCTGAGTGAACCATCGCTACAGAACTTTGTCCTGGCAGGGCGGGGTCTGCTCCACTTGTTGTTGGAACACCTTCGCTTCCTGCGATGACAAGCGCAACAAGTATACGGTACGTTTTAGCCCCAAGAGAAAGGAACCAGCAGTTGACAACAGACTCATGCAGTCGCTCCGGATCCACTGTGGCCAATACTTGAGATATCTTGAGATAATGGGAACCCAGTGATACCGCCCCTTTGGGGTACGGTTTTTGGGTGGCCGATGATAGCTGGCAAATTGAAAAATTGGTCTAACAATGTCAAACAGATTGTGGTTTGCTAAAAGATGCTAAAAGGTTTATGGTTTAGAATCAGATTGACTATAAATGACTATAATATATAATAAATTTTGAGAGACATGGACAGACACAGACCACAGGTCGAGCCCAGCACAGTGGCACCCAAGTCGCCAGCCTTCTGAAGCCGGATGAAGCCCTAGCAATGCAGAAATGTCAAGCATCGAAGTATGATTCAAGCAATAGGGGAAGATCTAAACATGGCCCATACGGCCATAGGATCCATGGTGCTGCTATATATGGTAACATTGACCATGAATATACCCCATTGATGTTAGCTTGCATATACCAGCACCATGGATCCTAAGGGTATGGGTCAAAATTAACAACTCAGGTGACTGGGGGACTGGTCCATTTCTCAACCGTCTCATGCTGTGCCGAAGTTTGAAGTGTATCCAAATGGAAAGATCTCAATATATGATATGCTTACTAGTGCTAAACGTAGGGAATGGATGGGTTGCTGGGGGAATGGGATGATTATTGAAAGTTATTGTGGATCATTCCCTGCGAAGCACCAGTAAGTATGTCAATGCTCTTCACATGAAACATCAAAGGATAGATGCCTGTAGTCCTGAACCTGGTGAAGTCAACCCTCCGTCATTTTTCGGGGCCCCTTCTGTTTTGACCCACATCAGTGTCCCGAGAACAGTGGACTCTTCCACAGGAGACGAAGCATTCGTATCCATTCGTGAGATCCGATGATGACTTTTGCGACTTTTGCTGAGATCATCTGAGATCGTGTGGGGCCTCCATGATCCGTTCATTGTTGGGAAACAATACGCACCAAGAAACTGAATCAGAACACTAATCGATGGCGAATTTGACTGCCTGTGGCCATGGAGCATCGTTTAAAAGCAGCCAAACAGCCAAAACGCGGTCCATCCTCCGTGCATGGAGAAGCCGTTAATCAAAAGGAGTTGAATTTTGAGGAACAAAAACCTCAAAATTCAGCCAGCCCATCGGGCCCATCATGGGCCGCTGCATACCGAAAGCAGATTCCAAATCATCAACCCCAATCAATGCTTCACCAATGCCTAACCAATTCAGCAGCCGTGCTTTTTTCGGGCGCCTGCAGCAGTGACGTCGACCCGGGCCGACCATCGCCCACGGCCTGGTGGTTGGCTCAACCACCCCTCTGAAAAATGATGGAGTTCGTCAATGGGGTTGGGATATGTTGGGATGACATCCCATATAATCCGTTCATGTTTGAAACCACCAACCAGCTCTTATTGACATTCCTCTTTAAGGAAGGTATCATCTCGAAATAACACATTTGTGGATTTTCTTGGAAGGTCCCCACTTGTTGATGGTGACACCGTTTACCAATCTTCAGCTGCGCAATGCCGTTGATGACACATGATTTGCTGGTAAATATACTACAAACTGCTAATGTGTTTCATCCAAATGGTCGGATAATCCAAGTCTTTCTCCCAAAAGAAGAGATCCCGCATGATCGGACGCGACACCGCTTGCTGCGTTGGGATGCACGGTACCTGTCCATGGACCAACGGGTCCATTGTGTTTATTTAAGACAACGATCGTTGGGATCGCTCGCACCAAAAAAAGTTCTTCGCCGTTAAGAGTCCGTCCAATTCTCTTGTCCTTTATTCATGCCCATAGGATCCATGTATGGTATATGCAAGCTAACATTTGGGGTATATTGATGGTAAATGTCATCATATATAGCATACATGGATCCTATGAGATGGAAAGCATTTCTGAAGAGTGATTGAAATATCTTGAACTATTGATTTTCTGCTGCCGTTTTTTGCCGCAAGCACAATGGGTTTCTCCACCCCTTGGTGTTTTCTAACGATCCCTTGCAAGTCAAATCTCTAGTGGGACAAATGGTAAACCCATCCAAAACACATATAAAGATCTAAGTGTATGGCAAAAATAAACCCCAAAATCTACTGGTCAATTGTCATGGTCCCTATCAGCCCTATAGGTGGCCATTTGGGAGCATGCCGCATTTCCAAAAAGATGCAGCAGGTACATGAAACACATCCACCTTTTTTGTTTTGTTTAACCCCAATTCACCTGAATGTCCAGCATCCCATACCATGTCCGCTTGGCCTTTGGGCTGCATCCAGTGGATGGAGTGGATGGACAGGAAGGTGCGGTGCTGCTTCCCGGGGAATGGAAGCCCTGCGAGGCCCAAGATGCCTTAGCCAGCCATGATTGCCTGGAACCCCAACCTGAAGACATGGTTGTTTCAACATGAGACTTACATTTTCCTGCACAAAGGGTTGGTTTGGGGGAAAAAGGTTTTTTGTTTATTTAAGGATCCCTCATCGTGATACGAAGCTCTCCTGCTGATCCTAAAACCAAAAATCGGGCTTCAATGAATGGCCTGTCAAGGTCTGACAAGCTACCAAACAAAGAAGTTCCTGGATCCTAACGTGGTCAGCCCAATAGACCATGCTCCATTTACAATTTTTTATCATTTGAGAAGTATGGGGAAAAAAAAACATGCCCAAGAAATCGGTTTATTAGTAGGTTGACCGCACTATGTTTTTTTTGGAAAATTGCAAAGATGATGAAACATTGCATTTTACAATGCCTGGCGAACATGTCCTGGATTTTGCTGCCGCAATCATCGTGGGATGATTTGATGCAGGCTTGGGGTTGTCTCATATTTTGGAACCCCTGAATCTGCACCAGTATATCTATGTCTATGTTCTCAATCAAACTGCCATAACTTGACGTAAGCCTCATTTTGAGACAAGCCCACTTGGCATCGGCCACCCAGCTATGACCCTTAGACAAAGGTCATTTAGGAAGCTCAAAAGTTGGGATAGGACTTGATCCAAAAACAACCCTGGTGAAACTTTCAACCCATCAAAATCCAACTATCGCAGAAAAGTCTTGAACATTATGAAACATGTGGGTTTACCCAGAAATGACGATATACTGGTATACGCCCCAAACAGCGGCTTTAATGGAGCAATGATGATAAACCATGATAAACCTTTTTTTGAGTTGCTTGGAACCAGCGTTTTCAAAATCGTCCCCATATTTGCTAAACCATGATAAACCATGACTGGTTGGTGGTTTTAACCATCTTGAAAAATAGTAGTCAATGGGAAGGATGACATCCCCATATATGCCATATATCATGGAAAATAAAAACATGTTCCAAACCACCAACCAGATGATAAACCATGATAAACCATGATAAACCATATTTGAAGCGACCAATCAGAAGCCTTTTCTGAGTCCCGCCGAGTCCAGGCTCCGCCTTCTTCACGAGAATGTAATTCTCCCACGATTCCTCCACCACAGCCCATGCAGCCTGTCATCATTTACCCTCTGGTAATGACTAACAGTTTGCTATTGAAAATGGCCATAGAAATAGTGGATTTACCCATTGAAAATGGTGATTGTCCATAGTTATGTTAGTTTACCAGAGGGTACTCTTGTGAAGCGCTTCTGCCAACTCCAGGAACAGAACGCAATGGAGAGATGTTGTCAGCTGTGGTTTTCCGAAAACTGATGGATTCTCACTTGGGGCCGTCCTACAGTATGAGCAGGATCCCCCAAGAATCCTCAGTTGGGCATAGGCCATTTTACCCCACCCAAACCAGTCAAACAGTGGTTCATAGATCCCCTACTCAAAGTTGAAGCGTTAGTGGAATAAATATGGATACTGGTTGGTGGTTTTAACCATTTTGAAAAATATTAGTCAATGGGAAGGATTATCCCATATATGCCATATATCATGGAAAATAAAAACATGTTTGAAACCACCAACCAGGATAAATATGGATAAATGGTGAACCCATCTATCTAATCCAGAAAACAATGTAAAGATCTAAGTGTGTGGAAAATCATTACCCCCAACATCAAATCTGATCAATCATCATGTTCCCCATTATTTGATGGCTATTTCGGGGGGCATACCATGTCCGCTTGGCCTTTGGGGTGCATCCAATGGACGGAGTGGATGGACAGGAAGCTGCCGTGCTGCTTCGGGGGGAATGGAAGCCCTGCGACACAGAGGCCCGACATGATGCGCCAGCCAGCCATGTCTGGAATCCCAACCAGAAAACATGGTTGTTTCAAAATGATAATGACATTGTCCTACACAACAACTGATGATCCTGATTGTTTTGGGAAAGACACATCTATTCTTGGCCGTCTAGAGATTCGGATGTGTTCCTCAGCTGTGCGTGTGATAATCCCAGGGGGGGATTTACGGTTCGGGTTCCCAACTAGTGATGATACGAATCTCTCCCGCTGCTGATCCTAAAACCAAAAATCGGGCTTCAATGAATGGCCTGTCAAGGTCTGACAAGCTACCAAACAAAGAAGTTCCTGGATCCTAACGTGGTCAGCCCAATAGACCATGCTCCATTTACAATTTTTTATCATTTGAGAAGTATGGGGAAAAAAAAACATGCCCAAGAAATCGGTTTATTAGTAGGTTGACCGCACTATGTTTTTTTTGGAAAATTGCAAAGATGATGAAACATTGCATTTTACAATGCCTGGCGAACATGTCCTGGATTTTGCTGCCGCAATCATCGTGGGATGATTTGATGCAGGCTTGGGGTTGTCTCATATTTTGGACCCCCTGAATCTGCACCAGTATATCTATGTATATCCATATGTTCTCAATCAAACTGCCATAACTTGACGTAAGCCTCATTTTGAGACCCCACTTGGCATCTTGGGGAAGTCCACCTGTTCATTTTGGTGACCAGCCAAGTCAGCCGGACCCTTATACAAAGATCCACGGCACTGGAGGGCACTTTCAACCCCATAGCATTCCAACAAGAATGGGTAATAAAGTCTAACCATATGGCCAATATGGCGTATACCCCACAAAATAGCCACTCTAATGGGAGAAATGATGAGACACTTTGTTGGTTTTGCACGTAAAAAAAAACTTACCCCATCTTCAAATTACTCTACTTCGTGTGATCCCCACCATGACATGTCAGGACGTATATTTGGACATATATTTAGTATATTCTGACATCCTATCTGACATTCTATCTGGCATATATTCTGGCATTCTATCTGGCATTATATCTGACATATGTTTTGGCATTCTATCTGACATATATTCTGACATATATGTTGGCATTCTATCTGGCATTATATCTGACATATATTCTGACATTCTATCTGACATTCTATCTGGCAGTCTATCTGGCATTCTATCTGGCATTCTTTCTGGCATTCTTTCTGGCATTCTATCTGGCATTCTATCTGGCATCCTATCTGACATTCTATCTGGCATTCTATCTGGCATTCTTTCTGGCATTCTTTCTGGCATTCTATCTGGCATTCTATCTGGCATCCTATCTGACATTCTATCTGGCATTCTATCTGGCAGTCTATCTGACATTCCTACATGAGGTCCGGCAGGGAACACTTGGCGTGGATATTCGCAGTTGAGGTCCGGCAGGGAACACTGGGCGCGGATGGTCGCGGTTGAGGTCCGGCAGGGAACACTGGGCGCGGATGGTCGTGGTTGAGGTCCGGCAGGGAACACTGGGCGGGGATGGTCGTGGTTGAGGTCCGGCAGGGAACACTGGGCGCGGATGTCGTGGTTGAGGTCCGGCAGGGAACACTGGGCGTGGATGGTCGTGGTTGAGGTCCGGCAGGGAACACTGGGCGTGGATGGTCGTGGTTGAGGTCCGGCAGCGAACACTGTGGATCGCGGGTCGCAGTTGAGCAAGGACGACGAGGACGACGAGGACGACGAGGAGGACGAGGAGGAGGAGGAGAGGAGGAGGAGGAGCAGGAGGAGGAGCAGGAGGAGGAGGAGGCAACTGACATAAAATCTAACAACCCTCACCTGGCAGGTGGGGAACAACCCATGTTGGTTTTGGGTCACCAATCAGAAGCCTTTTCAGTCTAACGCCCAGCCTCTTCCGCCTTCTTCTCGAGGATGTAGTTCTCCCATGACTCCTCCACCACAGTCCGTGCAGCCTGTGTTGCCGTCAAGTTATTGATGCGTCCCACCGGATTCCTGAGAAAATAGATATATCAACCCCAAACAAAATGAACAGAAAATTCAGGATGTTATAGACTTATTAGATGAATATAGATGATATACTCTTCATATTTCCAGGTTTCTCGCTGTTCTTTCTTATTGGGCATTGCTATATGTTGCTATACTATATTTACCCCTATTAATGGGGATGACGGTCCTCTCTACACATGGCATTGTCTCTTTTTTTCAGGGGACATGATGGTATACCGTGGGAAACCCCAAAACTGCATAGTTCTGAGTTGACAAAAATGACGATAAAACATGAAATTCGGTGGTAGCCAAGTTTCAGATAGACCCATATGGAGGTGTCCTAAAATGGGTGTACCCCAAAATCATCAATTTTTCTCGGATTTTCCCATGGAAATAAACCATCCAATGCTCGCTTGGGGATCCCCCATGACTTAGGAAACGCGGCGGCCTTCGCAGAGGCACGAGGAGACCTGGTTTCAAAAAAATCCTGTGCACCACCTCTATGAGGGAAAAAAACATTTTTTTTCTTTGGGTCAAATGAATCTGAAAATAAGTCTGATGCGTTTTTTTGTTAAACACCTAATAACAGATTTGAACCACCAAAAAAGTCGTGATAACCAGATGAAGGAGCCCTGCAACGACACACACGGATCGACTGGCTCACCGGGTTGCGGGCCACTTTCCCTCGAGTTGTCAGACAAAGCGGTTCTTCTGTCCCATAGATTAAAAGAACTGCCATGTCTCCCATTATTGTTGGTTTCTAAATGTTTCTACCACTCTTTTGCTCAATGGACATATGTCATGGTGAATAGCTGTGGTGCCAGTGCAACCCCGATTTCGTGATCAGCCCGGCCCTGCCTTGCTGTGCGGGCTGTGCGGCTTTGGCACAGCCCTGGCATGACGAATTGGTGGATTTTTCGTGGTGGGATAAATGCTATAGTGATAGATAAGTGAATAGTGGTCAGTAGTAAAATGTAGTAAATGATAAATGGTGGATAGTGGTGCATGCTATTATCCGATCAACAGCATTCATGTGGATAAATGGTGGTAAATGCTATAGGATATGGTGAACATCAACATGGTGAATAGTGATACAGTCTATGAAATGTTTACAGTACCAAACATGAGATTTATCATGTAAGTCCTGTTTGTTTATCTGGTGGATAGGGGTTTGACCGACAAGAATGAGGATAAATGATGTATCCCAAATGCTCCACCTATATCTAGGTATATATGTATACATATATATATATGTATATATATATATATGTACGCATACATTAGAGATTGTATATGGGGTGTATAGATGTGTTTTTCGGATTTCTCATACTAACAGCACCAATCCTATCAGGATTTGGGATGGTGAGGATATGGAAATCATCGAGTGTTTGTGGACTATAATACATATATATATAATTATAGTTATATATAAAAACCATAGCAAATCTCCCAAAAAATAGAAATGCGCTTTAACTATGGCTTAACTCTTAAATGGCAACTATAAACCAATGCAAATCCCATAGCAAATCTCAAGCATATGTACTTTAGAATCAGGCTTTACTGTTCTATCTTTTTGGGATGGCTACCTGATTCAATGAACTAATCTCCGCTCAATTGTCGGTCAACCGTTTGAACGAACACTGGTCAACTCTCTTTTCTGATTAACCAAACCTCTGGTATCATGGTGACAGGATGGATCGGAATGGCCTAGCCATAGTTTCTGGTGAGAAGCCACGAGATCACTACATTTCAGCCAGCTGGTTGATGGTTGTAAAGATTCACTACACATAACAAATGGTGGCTTAGAGTTTGGAGAAACTTGATCACCATGTGTTTTTCCATGTGTTTTTCATGGTTTTTCATCTTGAAAGCTACATCACCCAACTTGCCATATATCATCAATATCCTGAAAAATCAAAACTCATAAGACTATCAGGTACACCAATTAGATATATACTTTGCATATATATATATCATCATTCAGGATCTAACCAATAAGAAAAATCACAACTCATTTGATATTGCTCCGGTGTCCAGGATTGATGCCACCAGATCTGAGGATCTGTCAAGAACACAGCTGTCCGCAGGACTGCATGGCGCAAACGGCGAGGCCGTGGCTCCAACCAAGGTTTCACGCGGGATTTTCTCGCCAGAAATTGGCGGTAATCATGTTTAAAGTTCCCAACAAAATTGTTACAAGATTGTTACCCTCTGGTAATTTAACATAGCTATTGTTACCCTCTGGTAATGAACAATGTTAAATTACCAGAGGGTAATCATTTTCTCGCCAGAAAGGTTCGATTTACACCATTTTGACCACTGTTTTGCTCGGATGTTGCACCAAAATGGTGACGCTCCAAAATGTCAGGGATGTGTTTCGAAATATCTCCGATGTTCGGTGCTGGATATCATTCATCCCCGGCATCCATAGAAATGTATGGAACATGTATGGAAATTAACGATAAATCGATGGAAATTGATGAAACATGTTCAAAACGGGAAACTATACATATTGGAAATGAATGAGAAATTGATGGAACATGTTCAATCGTGTTCAAACATGTTCAAAATGGTCAACATATTTACTGTCCAAAACCATCAAGGGATACAAAAAAGTGCACTCTGCCCAGCGATTCACAGTGAATCACTGCAACTGGATGATCCGAAGATCTGGCTGCTGGTCAAGCTTTTTGCAAAGACACAAACTAGGATGGCTCATGGCTCACTATTGAATATGGACGATCTTCTATACCCTGCAACATGTTTTTTTAGATCGTTTGTATATGAATATTGTGTGTATTATGTGTATATATATATATTCATTATATGTCCCATTTGTGGTTATAAAAAAAGGAAGTGTGAAAGTCCTCATCCAGGTACTTTCTCCAGTTGAGCAGTTCATTTTTCGTCATCTTTGCCGCTGTTGATGCCTTCAAGTTTGACCCTTTGGGACTTGGCCTCTCAACATCTAACCAAGCTATACATCATCAACCGGTATTCTTCACATCCGAACTTTGGAACGCGCAAAAACGAGATTCAATTCACAACTTCACGGGAAGACATTGTATACATCATTGTACTATGCTGGTTTTTCTTGGTTTCCATTGGTGTCCTATCTATTTTCGCCGGTGCCCCAATCACAGCAGCTAGGTTTCTTTCCTGCGAGCCGCCGACGTTGCGCGCCTTTAGCGCTGAGTTTCGGTCGAAGCGGTCCGGGAGAACCACGGCACCCCGTGGTCCAGTCCCAGGCCGACCGGCAAAGCTCATAACGTTCCATGGGAAGCCAAGCGGGGAACAAACATTTCCAGGGTGTGTCCAAAAAACATCTTCAGCTTGGGGACGGGTGCAACCTGCTTAAAATGTTCAGAGATTTCAGTTTGGACGATTTAAAAATCCAGAAATGATTGGATTTTTTCTGGGACACAACCCGTAATCCCTCCCTTAGGATCATCCCAGTGGCATTCCCAGCATTCCGAACACGCCGGAGCAAATCATAGCCGATCTGTGGGCATTCACCAAGAATGATGGGGGCTTACAGCAATCACCGCATTTTCCTGGATGATTTCGGGACCTTTCAGAACTTTCAGAACTGAAAATGTTCAGACTCAAAATGACACTTTTATCCGCCCCAAAAACTGATGGTCCTTAACTGGTTGGTGGTTTGAACTCCTCTAAAAAATATGAAAGTCAGTTGGTGTCATTATTCCCAATATATGGAAAAATATGGAAAGTCATAAAATTCATGTTCCAAACCACCAACCAGTGATGTTCCTTAATGTTCCTGCCCTTTTAGCCGACCTGTGGGGCCTGTCCTTTGAAATCATTCTGTTGAGCCTCGCATCCCAACACATCACAACTGAAAGATACTGCGGCTACAAACTCGCCGTGATCCGTGCACACAAAACTCCGCGGCAGTCCACAGCCAATCTCAGATAGCGAAAGTCGTGTTTGAGCTAAATTTTAGCTCGTTAGTGTATACATATATATATATATTAATCATACACACCCATTTTTAGCAGGAGGTTCAAGATTATGAAATTCCAAGATTGACCCAGAAATCTGCGCGATGCACCGTCTACATCCGTCTACAGAAAGTCGCCGGCATTGATCCACGACTGGTTTCACCAGAGCGGAGCAACTTTTCGGCTGCCCATGGTGCTGTCACCATGGGGGAAGCTCATAAGCTTAGCAGGACAGTCGACCACTCCGCCACAGATAAAATCCAGGTGCTTCAATTATTGGATCTGTCTATCCAAATTCAAGTCTGGGTGGTGAAATCTCACTTGTTTTGATATGCAAGCACTCTTCTTGAATTTACAAGGAACACAGACTTGTTTTTCTGCTAAGATGCCCATTGCGGACGTTGCAGTCATGCTACAAGTGACTCAGATCGTATTTCGTTGCCATTGAATTGAATACCACGTTGATTTTTGTTGTAGCTATCCAGTGCATCATCCATTGACTCTCGTTTCCAGAAAAACCTGTTGGATCATCAACTTTTCCAAGCGAAAACTGGTCGGCTATCATGCATCTGGACCATCCATCAGTGCTTCACTCTCAGATTCAGGTACTGCTGTTCTCCTAACCTTCTCAGCTGGACTGCAGTGCAAAAAAACACCACGTTTCACAGAGCTTATGACACCACAACGGCACAACAAACCATTTGAATATGTCGTTGTCTCTGGGGCTGTCCAAAAGAGATAGAAGGGATGAAAAAAAACAAGGTTTACCCTCTGGTAAACTAACATAACTATGGAAAATCACCATGCTATTAATGGGTAAATCAACTATAAATGGCCATTTTCAATAGCTTTTTGTATGTTTACCAGAGGGTACTTTCTTGACTTCTTTGTTTGCTACTTCTTTAGGGATTCTCAGCTTCACTTCTTCCAGGGGCCAGCTAGTTCCAGGAGAGGACTAAGCGAACCAGCCTGGCTCAAACTTTCCCACAACACTCACCAAAATTTCCCGATATCGGATTCTTCCAGAATGTTCCAGATTACGAACAAACCCCAAAATGCCAAACAAAACAGCTTCATTCTTGAAATTAAGACCCCAAATAGCCCAAAAAAACCGTTGCTCGCCATCGTATGATCCGCATCCCTCACCTTGAGATGCACTGCGGTGGCGATCGCGACTACGGCCACAAGGGCCACGGCCCAAAGGAGAAGGCCTAGCGACACTTTGATATCCCAGAATATCACGTGGTTGGTGGTATAGCTACCCCAAATATGTCTGATGTATTCTATCTATCTATCTATCTAATCTAATCTTATCTAATCTAATCTAATCCAATCCTATCTATCTATCTATCTATCTATCTATCTATATATCTATCTATCTATCTATCTATCAATCAATGAATCAATCAATCAATCAATCAATCTATCTATCTATCTATATATATATATATTCCCATCTATATCTATTCTGGTTGGTGGTTGAGCCCTACCCCTCTGAAAATTGATGGAGTGAAAGTCAGTTGGGATGATGAAATTCCCAACTGAATGGAAAGTCATAAAATTCCACGGTTCCAAACCACCAACCAGTCACCATAGTATACCGTAAAATTGATGGTGAAATCATGTTAAATCATCTGAAATCTTCCGGTTCGATGAGTTTGATGTACTTTTTCACTGACAACCCTTTTGGAAGGGCCGCTTTGGTGAATCTTCGAACGAGGAATCAGGACTTGAGGAAATGAAAAGTGTGTTTTGTTTGTGATTGTGGTGTGTCAAAAAGTGGGTGTGTGTTTTTTTTAATGCACGCGGCATTGTATTTGGGTATCCCTTTTCAAGTAATATCACGTAGATTTTCCTGCAAAATGGAGAGAGGGAGTGGAATTCATGGATTCCACTACAAAAAGAAATGGATGTAGAGAAGGCTTCAACCATCACTGGAGATCTCGCTGCTGGAGGGTTGGTTGATTTTTTTTTTGACAGCATCGAACTCATCTGGGCAACGGAAAATATCCATTTTTGGCAAAATAGAAACATCATGAAACTATGATCTACAAACGGAGGATTCTCCAGTGCCAAATGAGATTACGGGTAGCTTGGTTTCAGCAACAGGGTTTCCCAACATACTTCTTCTGGTTAAACCATCACCTTTCGAGGAGACTCACCACTATCTCATCACCATTCACTTTCTTCACTTTTAGCACCTCGAAAAAAAAAATCTCTTGAAACTATTTTTCTTCAATGGACCGGACCCAGTGTTTCCCGTAAAACATGGGAAAAAAACACAGAACTGGGACCCCTTGGAACCCCCCCGGACTCCAAGCCACCTGGTTGCGACGTCATGGAGCTGCGCCATGAAACGGTCGCCGCGACGATGGCGTGACCGTCGGCTGCGAAGAGCCGCAGGGGCGCCATGGGCTCAGTGCAGACCTGGGCTGCAGCAATGGGATTTAATGGGAATATCATGGGATTTAATGGGATTTAATGGGAATTTAATGGGAATTTAATGGAATTTAATGGGAATTTAATGGGAATTTAATGGGATTTAATGGGAATATCATGGATATTTGATATAAGTATATATGGTACCCTCTGATAATGATGATTTATCATTATCTATAATAATAATAGAGAGAGAACTCTTATATAATATCTGTGTTCTTATCTCATCACTATCATTATCATTATCATTATCTTATGATACAATATTGATGAGATAATGATACTGATATATAATGATAGTGATCGTAATCATGATAATAGGCATTAATAACTAATAATAATAATCATCATCATCATCATCCCACTTCAAGTTAAGGTTGGAAGCATGTGGAACGAGAGTAATCAGCTCCAGTCCCCGATTCATCGGCTTTGCATGGTGTAACCCGGGAAAATTGGAGTTGTCTCACATTTTTCGACGGCAAATTGCCAGAGCCTAAAACCACGACGGTTCCCACGTCGCGCCCAACCAGTGGCAAAATCTCCAATCCATTCTTCCACTACTTCCATTCTGATTGACCTGTTTCTGTTTGTCTGAAAATATGCTACCCCTCAAATTGGAGGTATACCCCATATTCAGACACACCCAGCAGGTCCATCAAACCCCATTAAACCCAATAAACTCATATACAGCGCATTTATGTGTATATATATATATACTGTGTATATATATATATATATACTGTATATATATACTGTGTATATATATATACTGTATATATATATACTGTATATATATACACTGTATATATATATACACTGTATATATATATATACACTGTATAGATATATATATATATTGTAAATAAATATATATATATACTGTAAGTATGTATATATATATCATTATTATACATCTTATATTATGTACATATTTTATTATGTACATATTTTGCTATAATATATGATGTCATATTACATATATATATATACATACATTGACTAGACATCCTCCTTTTTGCTCGTTTACCTATCCAGCAAATCCAGCATCAGCATGTCAATCCTTTTTGTCGCGCCTGGTTCAGGGCTGAGAGTGCGCCGAGGTGCTCTTCATACTCCTCAGCAGGTTGCTGGGTCACCAACTGATTTTTGCCAAAAGTCATGGATAATATTAGGCATATTAATTGGGATATTAATTGGGATATATACCAACTATGTCATGGAGATGTCTTTTTGGGATATATTGGGATATATTGGGATAAAAACATAGGGATATTTCATGAGTATGGGGGATATCGCCGGATGCAATGGGGAAATGAAAATGATGGGGGACATGGGGAGTGAAGCGATGTGAAGCGATTGGGGTCGGTTCAAGAAGACTTAGAGAACTTGTTTCCGGTGATCAACGATGTGGGGGGCGCACTATTTTCAGACAAATCCGAAATTCCATATATGTATGGGGATGGGTCAAAACCTATTATTCCCATATTGCTGGAATAAACTTCCATTAACCAGCCAAATTCGGGTACAGTACCTAGGGTACCAGGGTTTTGACCCATAACCATATCCAACGAATTGATGTACAATGAGATTAGAAAGCGACACATTGACATCATACATGGCAAATATATGGTAACTATGCAGCCGTATAGATAGAACCGTAAGTAATGCCCATTCCGCTCATCCCTGTATAAAATTACAGATACAATGAAAGCCATGGTAGGTATATACAGATACATGTACAAGTATACACCAAATAGAAATTGCAGCAAATACCAGTTGAAATGGAGTTTAAGCCTTAAAGAAAAGAACAGTGGCTTCAGAAGTGGAGAAGTGACTTTATAGCCATGAAATTGCACCATAAATGAGGCCAACATCATCCAGGATGGGTATCAATTCCATCCCCCGACCCTGGTCATTTCGCCGATTCACCCCGGGTGATGAGCAACGCAAAGAGCGTGTGATGCGACATAGATCCCCTGGTAGTGATGCTATCTCTGCCCATGACGATTTTTGGTGGGATTCCTCGTTAGTTCTCAGACAAAATACGTACCGTACTAAGTGCACCAAAAAAAAAGGTAGTGCGGATTAAACCTTGGTTAGCCTCTCAAGCCACTGGCCCTTTGGTGAATTATCCTCTTAGCTGAGGGGATGGCGCAGTGTTGCAAGAACCATGGAGAACTAGCAATACACTGGTCGGATGGAGCCAAACATGCCAAAAGCGAGTTAAACTTTATATATCAACTATTTGTTTGAATCCGTTGCATGTGCTATATATATATATACAAATGTTGTGTTGCCAGAGTGGCTTTCCAACCTGTCCCTGTGCTTCCTTTTCAAAACAAAGCCATAAAGCAACTCTACAAGAACAAAACTGTTCTTGTGCGTCTTCAATTTTTCAGGCCCCCGGCTGTGAAACAAGCAATGGACATGTGCGTCTTCAGGGCAGCAACTCTTGAGCTGCCACCAGGACCTGGCGACCTTTCAGTTGGAGCCTGGACCTAAAAAAGCTGATGGACCTTTCAGAGCTGTCACCACCATGATGGGTCAGTTGTGACTTGGGGCAATCCCAAGTCACAGCTGACCCATCTGCGAAAAAACCTGTTGGACACCGAGCCCAGCTGATGACCCGAGAGCTATCACCTGTGGATCGCCCCAACTCACAACCTGGTCACCACAGCAATGCCAAAGCTTGTCTTGCCGCGACCTTTGCCTCAGCAATAGCTGCGACCGGTCCTAGGTGGTCTCCGTCTTCTCCTGCAGCTGGAAAAGAGATCCACTATGCCATCTGCAGCCACTAGCCTCATCCGTACCACGTTGAAATGATTTCGCCACCCTCAAGTCCACTACTTTGGAGGACGGAAGCGACCGCGAAAATCTCCCCACTTTGACCGAAATTGGGCTACGCTGACGTAGCTGTTGCATTGGATGGACATCCATAGAGAAAGTGATGAACAGACACAACCGCAGGAAGTACGACTACCGTGGTGAGTTTCCCCCTCTCACTAATATGGTTTATATACAAATCACATATGGGTAACCCTGCATGGTGAAGGTGACTGTGCACTGTGGAAAATCCAACCGCCGACCACAGTCATGAAAAACAAGAGTAAGCAATGAAAGCGAAACTGAAGATACTCAGCAAAAAAGTATTGCGCTCGTTAGTTTGGTATATCTTAGTATGTGTATATACGTATATATATATACACATACACATATTATATAATCTATCCATGTGTGGCAAGACATCATGAAGTATCGAACAAATTTCAACGACCGTCCAAGGTTGATGTTCGTCATGTTTTGTTTATATCATGTCAATGGGAAATCCAGGATCCAACAGATGGAGGTACGTTAGTACCATAGTTTGGTCCATATGTTCTGGGGATATTCCCTGAAATTTAGGCCTGAAAAATAGGCCTTATATATGGGATTGGTACCTCCAATTTAGGATCCTGAACTTCCCATTGAAAAAGTATTTTTCACTACCCGTTAAATTTGGAGATGTCCTCATGTCATTCCAGTACTGAAACAGTTCTGGTACCACTACTGAAGTACTGTAACCCCTCCCCCCCTAATATTCAATACCCCCCATTAAGGAACCCGTAATCACGACCAGATCCAATACTAAAACCATGAATTGTGTGGAATTCCTGATGTATATATAATATTACTATGAAACCATGATTTGTGTGAATTCTTGGTTTATATTTATGTGTATATATATATATGTGTGTGTGTGTGCTTGCGTGGAGGTTTCCCTAAATGGGGCTACCCCAAAACCCTCCGAAGCCTGCGGCCGCCTGCGGCCAAGAGGCATAGCGGTACGTCAGGGCTAACCTGGCTGTTGATAAAAACTCGAGGTACGCCCGAGAGCTTCACCCCCAAAATAGTTAAGTTGTTTATGGATCATAAAGCATAGGTATAAGTGGTATAAGTATCATAAACCATGGTGATATAATAATGTTCTATATATACATATAAAATCATATAAATACATGGGTAGATTATAGTATTTCACTAACCTGAAACAAGATAAGGCATCTTCTTGACATAATTCCCCGAATCCTAACCATCATTCCAGTGAGGTCGGAGTGAGGTCGTTGTAACTTACCCAGATGGACAATGTCAACCCTGGATGGATGAATAAACCATGGTCCATGTTTTTTTGACTAGTGGGTACAGTGAAACCACTGTTTAAGAGCCTACTGCAATAAGAACTTCCGGGGCTGGATTGCTGGATAAACCACGGTTTCTGTCGGCTAATTGAAATAAGAACCCCAAGGTACCCTGGATTCTAGCCACTGGTTCTTCTTCCCCTTTAACGGGATATCAAACATTGATTAGTGTGATATATAATGATACATATACACATACATATATATATATTATAAATATTATCTGTGAAAGGTATATTCTGCCGGAGCTTCTGGTTCTGGAGTCTCTCTTCCACCTGGCCGGGGCGCTGCTCAAATGAAGACGGGAAATTTGTGTTTCTGTATTTTTCAACCTGGTTGGAGGGATGCCTATTGAATATTATTGAACTATAAATGTGGAGCAATTTTGGGGGTCCCCAAAAGTTGTTTTCCAAACCTGCACGCCTAGTGGTCCCCGCAAAACCCTTGAAACAAACTTTGGGGGCTGCAACCCCAAGCCAGCTTCTTCCAAGCATCTCCATGGAACGGTTAGTGGTGGAAAAACTGTTGGGGTCCCAAAAAGTTGTTTCCACCACTAACAGTTCAACGGAGATCCTTAGAGGGGGATGTGATCGGGTATGCTGCCCACTGGAAGTAAGCCATCCTTTTGTATCAAAATAAATTCTCAATCGCTGATATGGTGGCGCAGTGTTGGGGGAGAATACCAAATGAAAGGTATGTTGTGGAGCTTCTTTGTTGCAGCTATTTCCCGAAAGAACGATTGGGTACAGTACCAGGGAACCCGATGACAAGCAAAGCACGCAAGAAGCAAACAAATTCCCGGCGCCGGGGGGAAGCGAATCCGTACACAGTTAGCAAGTCTGAAGTTGGCAGCAGGTTCCTGACACCAGTCAGACTCACTGGCGGGTTTCTGGCCTAAAGTGCTGGCCTTGGCTCGTGTTAGCTTGTCTTGTTTTGTCTTGCCTGTGCTGCCTTGTTTCGGGCCCCAAAATCGCAAAAAAAACTTTTCGGGACCTGAAAAGTGTGTTTCTTCCCCCCGCCTCTTGCACGATCTAAAACCATGCCAAAATGAACTTTCAAGCCCTGGCATGCTGGAATGTCTGGCCCTTGGCTTTGTTTTGGATGGCTGTACCTGAAAGAACTTTTCGGGCCCTAAAAAGTTTTTTTCCACCCAACTCTTTTCTGAGCCTGATGCCATGCCAAATGAATTCTCAAGCCCCGGCATGCTGGAGTGTCTCGCCCTTAGCTCTGTTTTGGATGGCTGCACCTGAAAAAACTTTTCGAGGGCTAAAAAGTTTTCTTTCCACCCAACTCTTTTCTGAACCTAATACCATGCGAAAATGAACTTTCAAGCCCTGGCATGCTGGAGTGTCTAGCCCTTAGCTCTGTTTTGGATGGCTGCACCTGCAAACACTTTTCGAGGGCTAAAAAGTCTTTTTTCCAACCAACTCCACGGCAGGCCCAACCCTCCCTGCCTTGTTGTTGTCCTCCTCTTCTTCCACTCTTTGCTGCTTGCAAGGCTGGAGGCGCTATTTGTACCGAATGCTATATTGAGAAATTATTAAGAAATTTCAACTATGAACTGAACCCCTTAAGAACTAACCCGTTAAGAAGTTGAGGGTACCCTCATTCATAAGTCCCATATTTTTTTACCTATAGCACTTAAGAACCTCAGGGTAGGCTGGAAAATTCTTAATCGGTTCTTATCTAACGGTTTCGCTGTACTCCCCAAATAGTGATAACCTGATGCTCAAGTTTTAACACCCCAATTCAACAGCCTAGGCGAATATTAATCAAGCAAGGGTTGACATTATTCATACTTCATACTCCAAAACTCTGAGGTTGTTTAACCCAGACTGCATCTCAAACAGCGTTTTCTGTTTGAGAAATACGTGTGAGACAAGACATACACGAGCCTGGCGGCAGGTCTATGGTTCCTTTCTTGACAAGGCCACTGCCTAAAGAGTCTGTTTTTCATGGGGATACCCTGCAGCGAAAACCCCCTTTTGCAGAGTCATACCGTACCAGCCAGCATATTTACACGGAAAAATCCAGTATATATCATCATATTCCCATTGTTGTTGGTTTATAGCCTATTAACCACTATTAACCAACCTTTCCACCTTGCCTCCCCCAAAAAAAACTCATCCGCCTGGCTTCGCAAAAGGCATGTTGTGTCCAGGCTCGTTTTTTCGAGAGGTCGGTGTCCGGCGAGAACATATGGGTCAACATCTGGTTCATAAAGGCCTCACCGACCCAGCGCTCGGCGCACGGCAATGGACAGTGGTGAAATGCCCCGTTATGTTTCTTTTTTTGGACATAAAGGGCATGGCTACTTGGAAGTCCAGTTTCACTTATAAGTGGATATATAGTTGTATAGTTATAGAGTTTTGTAGTTGTATAGTTATATAGTTATAATACGTGTGTATATATATTATATATAGTTGTATAGTTCTAGAGGCTATATCTCAACTTATAGAGGCTCTAAATAAAATCATGGATCATATCCTGGGAGTTTTCCTCCCCCCTGTCGGACCTGTCGCCTTCATGGCACCTTGAACCTGGTCGTTCACAGGTAGGTCGCCCAGTTGATCCATGATGGGATACAACGATGATCTCAGCCACGGTGCGACATCCGGGACGCAGCAAAACGACCTGTGATGACCTGTGCATCTAAAAATAGGTAAAACATTGGTTTTAACATCTATAAATGGCTGATTTTCCATAGATATAATATATATATATATGTATATATACGTACGTATATAGAGACATATGATAATATGTGAAATCACCAGAGCTAGATTTGGAGGAAGACAGGGGTGTCAAAACAGGGGTACCAGAAGCCAACTCCCAACTCCCATCATCCAAAATTGAGATTTGACATCGCGAGGTCGGGTTGTTCACGACCATCCAAAAATGGTGGTTTCCATCCTTTTTTTTGGATCATCACAGAGATCGTATTTGGTTCAGGTTATATAGTTAATACATGTTAAAACACCCCCAGCCGTTGGGTTTTTCGGTTGGCTTCTTCAGTTTCCTCACTCAGTTCTCATCGGCTCTCCCTGTTGATCCAGGCTGCATTCCAGTAGGATCTTCGGCTTTCAGGCAGCTCACCAGTTCTCCCAGTGGGAGCCAGAACTTCTCAATAGCACAGTCGCTCCTGCCACGGGGAAATCCCTTCGCCTTCGCCTTAAGGGGACTCCAACATGGGAAATCCCCATGGAAATCCCATGGTTTTTTGTTGGACAAAGATCATCTATCCCTATGGATCCATGGCCACTGTCTGTTTTTAGGTACCAAAAAACATCTATAGTAAATTATACCCCAGTCCCACTTCCTTTCAGAAGGTACGGTACCTGGATCCATAGGCTATCACCACAGCGCATGGTAAAAAAAACTGGATTTTCTGGCTGGCGCAATCAGAAAAACCCATCCCCTTGAGATCCCGTCTGAGTCTATCCATGTCTATCCAGGTATCGCCAGGTATCGCCAGGTTTCGCTCGAATTTCGCTACTATAAACCATGGAAGATAGGAACGCCATGCTTGGATTCAAAAACCATGGAAACTTTCAGTTGAAATCATCCATTTGGTCAGAAAGTCGACCCCCTCCTCATCTTGAACAGCAGCTTGCAAATGGACTTTGCCGTGCTGTCCCCTGGCGTCGAGTGAGTCCTTGGGGGACCTCGACTCTAAGTTGTTTAGTATATGGTAGGAGTGTGTAATCCAAAATGACATAGCCAAAATCAGTGGTCAGGGTATGTCAGGGTCATACGAGTCATACCACCTTTCAGTGGGGCTGGCAATTCCCACCCTTCCTCGTAGCCTCGTATTCTCCAGCAAGCCGTCCCGTTCGGAAGAAATCTCTGCCGTTCGGAACCACCAGAGCTTTCCCAGGCTTCTTGGTGCATCTATCCCATCAGGATGGGTTAACTTAAGATAACTGAAGTATTTAATGATGTTGATATGATCTTATTTTCGCCATGTTCACCAGTCTATTCGGAAGGTTTTGATCCACAACCAGATGGCTTTCTGTGAACATATGGCATCCCAATTCTTGATGGTTACCCTCTGGTAATCAAACATGGCGTTTTGGAAAATGAACCATTTAGTTCGGTCCTTTTCCCATCGAACTAAACCTTCATGAAAAGTTCGGTGGTTGATGACACGGGTAAAACTGCCGATTTGATGGTTAATCAACATGTTTCATCATGTTACATCACTGGTTGGTGGTGCAATAACCATCTTGAAAAATATGAGTTTGTCAATGGGAAGGATGACATCCAATATAGAAACTGGAAAATAAAATTCATGTTCCAAACCACCAACCAGTCATGTTTCGTCATGTTTCCCCATTGAAAAATTGCCCTTGTGGCTGGTGTTTTTCACGGCAATTTTCCCCATCCAACCAGCCTGCTACTAAGCAATCCACATCCTGCAGTTGCTCCTCCTGCAATGGACGCAACTCTTGCAGTTTTTGGGGAATCGGGCAACAAAAGTATCAATGGGATATATTGATGGTATGTAGAAGTTGGTGGAAAAAAAAAAAAAAACACAAAAACTTGGTTCATGGGGAATGGCACAGCCTTCCCTACATTACCAAAAAAAATGAGATCTCGCTTCCTTCGGAGTAAGGCTCTTGCAGGAGCCAACTTCCGAGACAAGCACTTGTGCCAAATCTTGCCTCAGTGGAGTGGAGCTATGTCGTCCACCCCAAACATGAATCAAAGACGACTCGGAACAAACATGGATTATACAGTGGTGATTGGTGCTTCTTTCCACCATTTTCGCTAGAAAAATCTGAAAACTCTGGAGGTCAGAAATTCTCCAGAACCATTGCGTGTTTCAGTGCACAGATTGCGGAAGGCCAAAATTGTAGGCGAAGCAGTGAATGGCCCAGCACAAATTTCATATCTGGGCATGGATTGTTACACCCTGGGACCCCGATGCGTATTCCAGAAATGGGCAGTATGGAATGTGCTATGGTGTTCCAGAATATCGACTGACCTATGTCTGTAAATATCATTAAATCTCAATGTTCCACCATGTCGTCTCATGTCATAAATGTGTATAATTATGTATAAATCAATAAGTATACATATATATATATATGTATTTATTTCTGTGTGCTATTTAATATACAGTATATGCATTCGCATCTATCTCTGTAAAAATGTCCTATCAAATCTTAAAGATGCCTCGTTACAGCACATTCGCAGCATAAATCGATCCATTTGAACTTGATAAATCCCTGGTTTGTCCGAGGGACCCCCGTTGATTGCAACAAACATCAACAAAGCATGAGAAAATCCCATCCAAACACAAGGACATCATGGCTGATCTTGGTACTTCATTAGATGCCCTGAAAGATAAAACTGGACATATATAGATATATATATATATATACTATTATATACTCACATTAACATCCATGAACTAGATCAATGCGCTCATCAATTACCAGTAGTCTTATCTTGTCTGTCTGGTTTCAGTTCAACCTGGCCATCAGTTGAACTTATTAGTTTCACCCCATCAAAAGTTTACACCTCAACATGTCGAAGTCTGTATCCCCATGAAATTGGCCAAAAAAGCATTCAACTATATTCAACTCTATACTGGTTGGTGGTATACCTACCCATCTTGAAAAATCATGGAGTTCGACAGTTGGGATGATGACATTCCCATATAGAAAATGGAAAGTCATTCAAAATTCCATGGTTCCAAACCACCAACCACTACATTTAATGGGGATCTCATGGTGATCTATAGTTGATTTACCCATTAAAAATTATGATTTTCCATAATTATTAATTATGTTAGTTTACCAGAGGGTATCATGTTTCTTATAAATAGCTAGACCCTCCAAGTACCCAAAAAAAAGAATCGGGGCATCGACATCGGCCCGTTAGCCAACCCATGCTTCGACCGACCCGGGCACCCTCTACATCCCAGCACAGGTCTGACCTCAGGTGGCGACTGTGTATAAATATACTATCTATCTATCTATCTATCTATCTATCTATCTATCTATCTATCTATCTATCTAATCTAATCTAATCTAATCTAATCTATCTATCTATCTAATCCTATCCTATCCTATCCTATCCTATCCTATCCTATCTTATCTTATCTTATCTATCTATCTATCTATCTATCATATCTATCTATCTATCTATCTATCTATCTATATCTATCTATCTATCTATCTATCTATCTATCTATATACGTATATATATAGTATGGACCCAGTATAGTGTGTGTGTGTGTGGTATATGTATAGTATATGGGGTAAATATATATAGTATAGTATATGGTGCGTATATATATATAGTATAGTGTACAGATTGTATAATATAATTATCTCAACATAACATAATATATAAGATGATCCAAAGTTCACATCAAATCCTGCAAAATCATTTCCAAACACAGTCTGATGGCTGGAACCAACCTCCAGTCGGATAGGCTGCCCCACAAGAGCTGCCAGTAGCAACGGGTGTGCTACCTGGGGCATAAGTAAGTCGATGAATCTCACTGAATGGCCTGGAAAATGATTATATAAATTAGATATGATTGTACTTCCAAGATTTTCAACGATATATTATAATATTTAATATAATGAATATATCTCCGAATAATTCGGCACGACTCCCAATGGCATATCGTCTCTCCAAACGCTGCGTGACTTTCCACCAAAACGACAATCCCCTGCAGAAGGTGACCCCAAAATTGGCCTTCCATGCCATGGCAAAAAAAACCACGCCCCAGTCGGAAACTGGATTCCAGTCGCGGAATAAGCAGCAGAATTCAGGGATGCAAGGTATAAGTATATCATATGTATATATATATATAACAAAACATAATAAAATGGCAGATTGCTGAAACTATCAAAACATGATGAAAAATGGTGAAATGACTGAGCTGATGATGTTTTTGATGATGGTGATGATGATGATGATGATGATGATGGTGGTGGTGGTGGTGATGAGGATGTGGATGTGGATGAGGATGTGGATGAGGATGTGGATGATGATGAGGGGGAGGAGGATTAAAAGAACTTGCTGTAAATATGAATTCGAGTACTGCATTTATTCTTGGAAAAATGTTCCGATTGCTGATAATATTATGTCCACCAAATGTGAGAGATACTTCCTCTACAATAAACTCACTGCATTGGTTGGTGAAAGACTCGTTTTTTCTTGGGCACAGCACATCACACATACTTCAAGTAAAACACATCTGTTTGGCAGCTACATCGGTATTGGTAGCCTGTTCCTCATGTTTGTTGGTCATGTCCTGAACTGGACGTTGATCCATCTTTCATGTTTAATCCATCAGAATTGGCAGATACATGCCACGTTTCTGTTGATTATTCTATCACACTGTTGATGAGTATGCTATCTTGAATCAGTTGGTGCTTGATATATTCTATACCCCAGTCGCGCATTCCAGCTCTTTTCAAAATGGTAGATATTCAGCAATTGTTATCACTTTTAGCCTTGATCATGTTGATCCCATGACCAGTATTGGATACATATTCGCCGGTTCCTTAGTTCGTGCAGCATTTGATGCGATTAGGAAATATGTGTCCATCTTTTTGGGGAATCACGTCTCCAAAAGATAATATTGGAATCTATCCTTCTTGGGAATACTCAATATGAGGATGAGAGTGCCATAGAGTGCCAATATTGCCAATCGAATTGTAACATTGTAACATTTTCGAGGGGGCTACAGATCTATCATGTGCTTTGGAAAATCTTACGAGCTCCTCGGCTCCAGAAAAATCTTTTTGCGCCTCCGCGGCTGTGCAGCTTCCATGGTTGGCGACCACGCGCGACTGTGGGCGAAGGACGTGTGGATCTTGGAATCGTTCACCAGACCCATGATCATGGCACCTCGTACTTGAACCCACAATTCATATTCAAAACTGGTATATCATATGTTTTGATTCAAAACATGTTATACATCAATCATACACTTATGTATATAGAGAGAGAGATCGCTATGACACTAGTGACTGCATGTATAATTCTGATACTTGTAAATTTATAGTTATATATGTATATATATATACATAGTATTGTGCATAGCTATATGCTTATATATATACATATATGTGTGTGATTACATATATAACTCTGTCAATCCATAACTATATTGTAATACATAAATATGTCATAATACATGTTATAATACATAACTATGTTATAATACATATTGTGATACAAAACTACATGTTTAGATATACAGTCATCTATACCTATATACATATAGTGATATAGAGTTTATATATATAGGTAGAGCTATGCACAAGTGTAGAGAGAGAGAGAGAAGAGCGGGAGAGAGCTACAACAGTCATATAATATGTGCATATAATATGTAAATATATGTACAGCATCGTTATATGTATAGTTAGTAATGAAACTATGCATAACGCTATCTATACATATATAGTTTCTATAATTCTGATATAGAGTTACATATCATTGTACAACAATGTATTAATAATTGTATATACACATGGACCGAGCGAGGCTCCAGCTGTCGTCCCAGCGCCGCCACGACGCTGCGGCCGCCACGCACGGTGTGCGAATGGAAACGGATCACGGTGGACCCGGGTGAAACCCACAAAAACAGGTGGCCGGAGGTGTATCTAATGGCATCTTTTTGAAGTGATGTTTCTTCCGGGTATTGTACTAATGGCATCTTTTTGCCAAGAAAAATCACCCAATGGCATCTTGTATGGCATCTTTTTGGGTGATTTTTCTCGGCAATTTTTGGGAACAATACCCTGACCAAGACTGAAAATACCATCTACCCTCTGGTTATGACTAACAGTTTGCCATGGTATAGATGGCCCTAATCGAAATAGATGGTTTACCTATTAATAATAGCATGGTGATTTTCCATGGCGAACTGTTAGTCATAACCAGACGGGAAAAACTAAACACCTCAGCAGTCTCTTGAGTGACGTGCCAACTCGGAAACTCTATGCGATCTGGATCTTGCCAACATTCGGCAAGTCTTTGCAGAGATTTCAAGCAAGATTTTAGTTGTTTCCTGGCGTAGTGCCTCACATAGGCAGATGAAGTTCTTCGGATACACAACTCCAAATTCACGGGGAAATCAGCGGAGGAGACGCAAAACTGTCGAGCTGAGAATTCTCAGGAAATTTTACAGAAAAAACCAATATTTAATGGTAAAAACCATGGTTTCCTGTAAATTTTCCCTTAAACCAATCCATTGGATTTTTTTTTGTGAAAGATGGTGAAATATGTCGACACATATTTCGATCGATGGCCAGGACTCAGGACCCAACCACTGGGGAACAAGTCCACGGGAGATTTTTCACCATGGTCTCTCTATGATTCGCATACCGCATACCATAATTCATTTACGTACATTCAGTACATTCATTTATATCTATCAACTCTATAAATGCATGTTCATATATGTATATACATACATACACATATACTGTATGTATAAATGTACCTATATGTATATTATAATGTCTAATATGTATAAAATAAAGTCCAAGTAGTTTCCTGAGTAGGGCCCCAGACATCGTCCCTTGGGATTTTCCAAACCAAGCATTTTTGGATACCCGAAATGGTAAAGATTGACATAACGAACTGGAAAGATTCACTGCTATGAATGGGTATAAACTAACATAACTATGGAAAGATCCACCATGCTATGAATGGCTAGTTTTCCACCGACATTTCGACTGGGCCATTTTCTATGTCGCAAATGGTGGGATAACGATGGATGTTTTGGGATCATTATGGGTCAAAACCAATAGTACCCCTTTTTTGTTCACCTCAAAATAGCTGGGTTAAAATGGATGTTCATCACCCTAAAAATGGTACTTATAGCTATTGATCCATAGCCATATATCCTGTAGATTCTCAGCTGTCAGGTGAACCATCCATACGCCAGGCAGCGACACATGATGACACATGGCGACACGACACGCTTCGTTGGTGGCGACTCGTTTCAGCTTTCCAAAGGACTTCGGCTAAAAACGTGTTTTTTTACACATTGGTTATAGTGGCTATATCTGGTTGTAATATGTTATAATATGTTATGATGGTGATTTAACCATCAAGAATTGTGATGTAACCATAAAAAATGGTGGTTTGACCATTTTAAGGGTGATTTAACCATCGAAAATAGGATTATATATAATGGGGAATATCATCGGTTATTACCGTTTGGCAATCAAACATGGCTAGGGCTAGGGTGGAACTTCCCAAAATATCTGTCATGGTGTTTTTGGTATATAGATATATCATATATCATTCTATATTATATATCGAATGGATGTCAATGGGGTTTAGAAAAAAAAGCTCATGGCTATCAAACATATAGTTGGAAATGCGAAATCCCCGAACTAAATGGGGGATTGTAGCTGGGAAAATTATCGAACTAAATGGTGGATTTTCTAGCAAGTCTGAGTGCCATAGGGCAAAGCAGTTTGCATTTTGGCAAATGTTTTCAGCGGGTTTTCGGAACAGATCCTTGTCATGGGTTTGTTGGTGTTGTTTTGGGGGGAGAGGCCACCAGTAACCCAATGCCTTCACCCCATGATCTTGAGTCAGGCTTTCTGAATGTGTTTGAAAAGCCCATGCCCCCATGCCCCATGCTTGATTGATAAAATCCCCATGGACTTTCTGGTTATCTCATTCTTACCCTCTGGTAAACGTTTACATAACTATGGAACATCACCATTTTTAATGGGTAAATCAACATAATCAGCTATTTCTATGGCCATTTTCAATAGTTATGTTAAATTACCAGAGGGTAGATCATGTCCAATCCACTTTGCTCCACCTTTACGGTCGCAACGACGCTTTGGCTGACGCTTTGGCGCTGGATCGGGCAGCTACCACCCCCGTGGAGCAACGATGGGTCAGCCGTGGGAACTTCTTTTTACCAGTACCGTACCAGTAAGAAACATCTATAAATAGATCAATGGTAAATTATCTATAAATAGAGAAAATATCTATTAATCAATGGAAAATTAGCTATAATTAGAGAAATTATCTATTAATAAATGGTAAATAATCTATAAATAGAGAAATCCTCTATTGCAAATGGATGTTTTTAATGTGGAAATCATCGAATTCTATCGATAAGAATTGTCCTTTCCACTGTAAATCTCCAAATGAGCAGACTGAGCAGTGTTTAAATCCCGAAATGTCATTCCATGAAATATCATGAAATATCGGTTAAGAAATGTTAAGAACGGGATTCCCCTTTCTTGGAATGTAATCCCCAAGATATTGGGTAATATCCCCGAGCTACTCCCCAACCAGGGTTTTGAACACTGCTCATCTGACATCAAGGGCTCCCAAGATACTGAGAATTTACACCATCTGACATCCAGGGACGTTGCCGAAAATCCCATCCGTGAAGCACTGCTTTCGGTTGGTCGGATACTCCCACTGGACATCCGTTTCACCACCCGGGAAATTCCGACCCAGATCAGGAGGATTTCCCCGCTGAAATGTGGCCATTTTGTGGAATCTGGGGTAGTTGGGATCCCTGAAGGAATGCCATGATGCCATCTGGGATTAAAACAAGTACCGGTTGAAGTCCATAAGTTACCACCAAAATGGCTGTGGTTCAATCGGACAGTTGGGTGATTAACCACCCGATGTCGCTTAAATGTACCGTACATGTTTAAGGTGCCAAACCGAGCTCTGACATTCGAAAAAAATCTATGCTAAGTTCGACGCGACTTGGGTGCCTGGCTCCCGGGGGAAGTTGTGACCCAGAGCAGCCCATGTTTCCACCCCTCAGCTTTCATAGTGACCACGTGGCACAGCAGTGAATCCCAGCATGGATGGGTCCACCTATCGATCGCGAGGGCAGGGATAACACTTCGACATCCCCGGGCTGGGTTAAGTAGGTTAAGTGACTCCCTGACCTGAAGAAGTCCCGAAAAGAACATCTTGGGCATTTCTATGCATTTCTTTGTTTCTTTCATAAGTCACTGTGAACTCATCTTCCTAGCCGTCCTAGTCAACCACAAAGTCGATGCCTCAAGCATCCAGTGGCAATGTCTATCTCCACGATTTTGATGCTGTGGATGGGACCCTAAACCAATACCTTCTGAATGTCCAGCTATACCAGCAGTTTTCATGTGAGTACCGTGCGGTAACTGGCTTCAGGCTTCTATCCATCAAATCCCCAAAACTGGCTTTGATTGAAAAAAAACCGGAAATCGCATCTCATGTAGAAAATGCCCGGTCCCATCAAATTTCAGTAGGCCATCCCCCCGCTAGATATCTGTGCAAAGTATTGCAATTCCAATTGCAATCATAATCGGTGAGATGGTAAATAAGCAAGGGGAAGCACACTCATTAATAGGAATCCCAACATTATCCATCATTATCCCAACATATCAGTAATTGCCCTATGGTAATTTAACATAGCTATTGAAAATGGTCATCGAAATAGTGGATTTAGCCATTGAAAATTGTGATTTTCCATAGTTATGTTGGCTTACCAGAGGTATATTAACCACCTTTATTATTTGGTGATATTGGGATAACTGATGATAACTGTATAATATATAGTTTGACATAGTTCAACCATGTTTAACCAACCTGAAAAAGCACAGGATCACCCCAACCATTCCAAAATGACCTGTCAGCCAGGTGTCTGGCGCCCTTTAATTTCGGAAAATCGTCGCGGCCAGTCGATACCCTGCAGGAAATAAACATACTTTACAAACGTTCTGTATGGTTTATATATTATATGCTATATATGATATATATATATATATGATATATATATATATGATATATATGATATATATATATGATATATATATATACATACATGATTGTATGTGATTCTGGTTACTCATAGAACCATACATAAATTGGCAAATGTCAGCTATAAAATATATAAAATGCTATTTCCACTTCTACATCTCCAAATTACAAAGATGAAGTTCTACCCTCTGGTAAACGTTTACATAACTATTGAAAATCACAATTTTCAATGGGAAAACTCACTATTTAACGATGACCATTTTCAATAGCTATGTTAGACATAACCAGAGGGTAAGTCCTAAAGCCAGGTCAGCCCTTTGGAGTCACCTCCTTCCCCTTGATCCGGTGTTTCCGCTTTGGAGGCGCCTCAAGCGATCGAGCGACGACTCTACCACGATTAAATACCGTCAAAGAGGGTAAAAGATGATGCCCCCATTAAATATCCCATTGCATCTCAGTGTTGTGGCTTCATATGATTTCATATGTATCATTTAAATTTAAATTCATTTAAGGTGTCGTCCCATTTTTGGTATGCTAAATCCCCTTTTGTTCTTTGGTTTTTTACCCCACAGAAGTTCTGTGGTCGCTACTACTACGAGTAACTCGTGCCGAAAAAGAGGAATCCATCCATGAGAATCCCATGTACCCATCAAAACATCAGTAAACATCCCTTTGAATCTCTTATGCAAAATACATCAAAATACCCTCTGGTAATTTCACATATATATATATATATATATATATATGAGCAGGGACCCCCACACACCCCCCCACCCAGCCAGATGGTTCCCCCCCCCTGTGGCAGGGGAGGGGGGGTTTTCTCAGCAGCCAAGCCATGGTGTATGTAGTCTTTATAGTGCATATAATGCATATGTATCGATAATTAGAATGGATATACTATATGTAATATAGAGTGTATGTGTAGTGTATATATATATATAAACATATATATAATATGTAAGATATAAATAGAATATATGCAATCTATCTATATATATATATATTTGACATATATATATATATATTGAACATATATATATATATACATCGTATATGTGGTTTTTGATAGAATATAGATAGTATATGCCACATGTACTGTATCCACAGTAGATGTAATATATACAATATAGGTAAATATGTTCGTTGAATAATTTTTACATAGTATATGTGGTATATTGAATATCGACAGCAATACACGCTGTATATCTAGAGTTTATGCATATATATATATACATATGTATATATATATACATATATATATATATACGTGTACAGTATGTACAATGTAAACGAAATATGTGATAGATACAAGATCAAGATATCAATCTGTAGTATCTAGAATGTGCATATATATATATAAATATGTATTTATTGTTTTTCTACTGTACATATGTCTAGGTTTGCATAGGTAAGCTTTGCGTAATCCATAGGTAGCAAATATGTTGTAAACCATGTGCGAGGCACGCTATAGGCGGTTCGAAAAAAAAGGTTATGATAGAAATATACAGGTAGACAAGGTCCGTTGACGAGGTCGTGGCTCTCAAGTGCTGCAAATAACGTAGAGATGCGAGGTTGGAGGGGTGGAAAGGGGAGTATAATTATATGTGTATATGTGTATGAAAATGTGCAAATAACATGCAAATACTAGGTTTTGGGGGGGTGGGGGGGGTTAGGAGTGGGGGGGGGATACCATTGGGGGGGGGGGGGGGGTGTGGGGGGTCCGGGGACCGGGCTCATATATACATAGCTATAGCTATTGAAAATGGTCCAGTCGAAATGTCGTTGATTTAGCCACTAATAGCATGGTGATTTTCAACAGCTATGTAAACGTTTACCATTTCGGGTACCATCCCCCCATAGTCAGCTCGACCCTGAGGAATCAGCCGCAAATTCAGAGCTGTTGAATGATATCCCATAGGACTTGCACAATAGCCATCAAGAAAAACATATGGAATATCCATGTTTTTATCCCATTCACAAAACGAAAAAAAACCTTCTACTTAACTCATATCACCAGCGAAAAAAAAAACATTCCTCCAAAACATTTTTTGGGTTTAAGCATCAACAATTGAGGCAAAATCACTAGGTCATTATCAGTCAGGTCACTCGTCACTCCCGCACGAAAATAATGGCGCGTCATTGACTACGCACAGTAATGGCTATAGCTTTCTGATATCTCCCCAATTTCCGAAAATGATCCTTGGTCAAATCCATGATTTTGATCCAACATCCCATCCTAACACCAAAAACTGCCGCAATCCGCGGTTCTTAAGTTATGGTTGTAACCACTACCCTCTGGTCATGGCCATGGCGGTCTATCGTGGATTTTCCCATCGAAAATGACCAGAGGCATCCCATCGAATCCTCCATTGAGAAATGACGGCAGATGTTTGCCGGAAAAAATACGATGAAACACAAATGTGATTAATAGCATCTATTAAAACACATATCCTCAGTATATTTCCTTGACATATATAATATATAGCTCGGACGGTCTCTCTGGCAGTCGGCACAGCAGCGCAGTGCAGCGACGGCCTAGTTCATTCTCAAGGTATGGGCCTTGAGATGTCCGCAACACGCCTCACAGCCCTGTTCGCCGTGAAGCGGCGAAGATTGCTACGCATGTCATGCCACAGCTGAGTTGGACAGTGTATCCTAAGCCCAGCCAGTTTCAAATGAATTCCTAGCCCTGGAGCCGTGGATGGTGGGGTACGAATGAAAAGATGCGGAAACATATCAACAATGCAACGCAAAGCCTGCTGAACACCCCTAAGTAACGTCCCCACCGTCGGGCGTTGGAACAAAGAATCAATGGTACGTAAAGTAATGTCCAAAGCCCCATCCACCTGAAAAGGAAACCTAAACTCCTTGTCAAGAACAAGGACAAAAACGAATTCAATGTCACTGAGCACTCGAACTTCACCTGGCAATTGCTCTGCAGCACAAAGCCAGTGGATGATAGAAACCAGAAATCTCCCAGGTACAGGAAAGTCACCATGTAGACATCTGGTTTGCCAATTCAAAGGTAGATTCTCTTCGCATGGAATCCAAAACCACTCTTCTTCCTCTGCAGAGGACAGCACATCTATGCATTCTTCTGATCCAGTCGTCAGGTTGACACCCTGCTCAGCTATCAAGAAGAAGAACTTGCGAAGCTGTCTAAGCCTGGTGGCTGTGTTGTCTAGCAGCTGTCTAAGCCCTTTCAGTCTCGCCCATAAAGAGGCCGGTCTTTGGCTGTTCTGGTGGACAGCAAGCTGATCCACAAGTCCATTCCAGTGAATCACCCACTCTTCAAAACAGTCATCAGCCTGCTCCTTGGACAAGTGCGAAGGTATCCAGCGAAAGTCCGTGGAGACACCGGTGCGATCTTGAAGCGCTTGATGGAAAATGCTCCACAAGTCAAAGTTTGCTACCCCATCAGGGACATATCCCCATGTCTGGATGCGCTCTGCCATTTGGACCGTGGACAAAGAATCAGACCAGATGCACAAAGCCAATTCAGTGTGAGCTCCCCACATGACTGCCGAGATCACTGCAGAAAGTTCGGCACGATCAATTGTCTGAGTAGGCCCATTCAAGTGTGCTGCAGAGACCACAAGTCCGGCTGTGGCGCTGATAACTCCCCAAGAAGCTAATTGCAATTCAGGGTAAACTTCAACCGTACAAGATCCATCCACAAAAAGGTGATGAAAACCAAATTTGGGGGGTGGAAATTGAAAAGATTGAGTTCTGTCCTGGAGATTGCAAAGCAAGGACCGCCAGTGCACAAGTTGCGGGATGCGAGGAACCAAAAGATGATTCAGCATACACTTCGGTAATTCCACGTTGTCTGGCAGCCAGTCAGGGATCGAATCCCTTATGTGAGCAAAACGTGGACAATGCAACCAGTGTTCACGGTCATCTTCAATGTTACAAACGGTGCAAAAAGGAGTCTTCTCCTCATCATACTTGGCATGTTCATAGTTGCTGATGAATGCCCCTGAGTGCAATGCTGAGAGCCGTGCACGTTCCAGTGGGAGCATATTGGCAGTGTCAAGCAGTGTGAGCTGTCCATCTATCCCATGAAGACCATGCATGGTTTTGTGTTTTGTTTGACTGGCAACATACTGCAACCATCCATCACGTAGCTGGGCAGTCAGTGTTTTGTTGTCCAGTGTAAGCAAATCCCAGACATGCCCTTCATGGTCTTGAATCATAGGTGGCTCCACAATTGCCCATCCAATTCCAGAGAGACACTCAAGGAGTCTAGAAAAAGGACCTGGAACCGTCTTGCCCAAAAAACCACGCATCCAAATCTTCCACATGTGTAAGAGGTCAGGAACTTTCCGCAGCATCCTTCGCATCGTATGTACACAAAGCTGAAGCTGGAAATAGCCTGGGTCGTTGGACATGTTGTCTGAAAGTGAGAGCCTCAACATTGGATTGGAGCCAGCCCCACTAATGCCTAATGCCTTTGTTGCAGCACGGCGCAACTCCAGTGCGTAGTTGTCAGAAATAAGACAATTGGAAGCACCATGCAGTGCCAATGGCCAAAACACCGTGTGAAGCATGGCAAATTTCTGCAGCATAGGGGCCAAGGATCTTCTCAATCTGGTCCATTTCGGCTGCAATCTATCACCTCGAGTTCGCAGGGCGCGATTGCGTCTTGCAGAACCATATGTCATAGCCCCTCCAAGTTCACATGCATCAGAGAGACATGGAAAGTGAAGTTGAGCCAATTGTTGCCGATCAGTTCTGGTAAGCCCCCAAACATATGTCTTGTCATCATCAGTGTGCAAACCAAAAAGCCGGCAGATCTCACGTAGCACAAAGTAAGCTTGTGCAATCAATTGCGCTTCTCTGGCAGCTAGAGTAAGGTTGTCTACAAATGAAAATGTTGTCACCTGCGGTGTGTATACACGCATGTAAACGTGATAGCTCCAATTGACAACAAGCATCGCTATGATGGATAGAGGACAACCCTCTGGAAAGCCTGAAGATGACGATAGAGCATTGCCCAGATTGCCATGTACATCAAAACGTCTCACAAACGTGCTGAGAAACTTCTGCCAAGCATTGAGCAGCTGACTGGGTAGTCCAAGATGTTGGGCTATCATGAAAACCTGCTTTCTGCCAATATTGTTAAAGGCACGTTTCAAGTCAGTTGACAGCCCAGCAAATGTCTCTCCCCTTTGTAGCATCAACTCTATGTGTGCTTGCAGTTGAAGCCATACTTCTGTAGTTTCACGGTGTGGCATGAACCCTAAGGCTTCCACTGGCATCACATGAGACATTTGTTGCAACATCTGCTTTATTCTCATCCTTGCCCAGTTTCTATACAGTGTGGAGAACAAGGTGATTGGACGAAAATGTCCTTCTTCATGTGC